TTGAAAGTGATAAAAAATCGTTGCCTATATTCCCCACGCACTTAAGTGTTAACGAAATACATGATGGGATTAAAGCGAAAAAGCTTTTGCAGGGTTCGTATCAAGCGTCACGTGAAAATTACTTAGAGGGAGCCGTATCTGTTGAAGGTTATGAGCATCCGGTATTTTAATATGCTCCTTAATTTATTCATATAACACTTACCGGTTTGTCAAATTACAGGTACTAGTACAAGGTCGTGAAGCGCTTAATCGTGCTGTTGATGGTGATATTGTCGCTATCGAACTTTTACCACAGGAAGATTGGACGGCACCAAGTGAAATCGTATTAGAAGAGGGTGCCGATGAAGATCCTGGGGATAATGTGGAACGCACTGAAAAAGAAAAATCTGTATTTGAGAAGAGTCTCACAAAATCTGATGAAGTACGGCCCACCGGCAAGGTAGTTGGTATTATACGTCGTAAATGGCGTCAATATTGCGGTATTTTACAACCTAGTTTGCTGGAGAACGCATCGCGCCATTTATTTGTACCGGCAGATCGTAAAATTCCACGTATACGCATAGAAACACGTCAGGCGGAACAACTACAAAATAAGCGCATAATTGTCGCTATCGATTCCTGGCCACGCAACTCGCGTTATCCGCATGGTCACTTTGTACGCAGTCTTGGTCCGCTAGGTGATATGAATACCGAAAATGAAGTGATCTTGCTAGAACACGATGTGCCGCACAGCAAGTTCTCTGAAGAAGTATTAAGTTTCCTACCAAAAATGCCTTGGGTTATAACGGAGGAGGTAGGTTTATCGAAATGTTTTTATTTTTAACTATTTTCGAATATAAGTTGTTTTTATTGCGCTACAGGACTACGCACAGCGCATCGATTTACGCGATTTATATATATGCTCTGTGGATCCACCAGGCTGCACAGATATTGATGATGCTCTTCATTGCCGCGAACTGCCAAACGGTCGTTTAGAAGTGGGTGTACACATCGCTGATGTAAGTCACTTTATACGGCCGGGGAACGCGTTGGACAATGAGGCGGCAGCACGTGGTACCACTGTTTATTTGGTAGGCAAACGTATAGATATGGTGCCGGAACTTTTGAGTTCCAATTTATGTTCGCTAGTAGGTGGCGTGGAACGTTTTGCATTTTCCTGTGTTTGGGAACTGGATAATGAGGCGAATATAGTAGCTAAACGCTTTCACAAGAGTGTAATCAAATCTAAAGCGGCAATGACATACGAACAGGCACAAATTATAATCGATGACGCTACACAGCAAACGGAAATCGCCAAATCTCTGCGACACCTCAATAGATTAGCAAAAATATTAAAAAAGCGACGTATGGATAATGGGTAAGAATTTTTATTAAACATTATTGAGCATACATATATACATATATATATATATATATATTCTACTCTACAGCGCTTTGGTGTTGGCCTCACCTGAGATACGCTTCCAGGTGGATAGCGAAACGCATGAACCACTCGAAGTGGAAGCGAAACAAGTGCGTGAAACCAATTCCATGGTTGAAGAGTTTATGTTGCTGGCAAATTGCACCGTGGCCGAGCATATATGTGCAGAATTTCCCGAATGCGCTATGCTACGTCGACACCCGCGTCCTGCACCGAGCAATTTTGAGCCGCTCATTAAAGCAGCGAGTCATCAAGGTTTTGAAATTAAAACCGATACGGGTTTAGAGTTGGCCAGCTCATTGGATGCTTGTGTGAAACCGGATAACGTATACTTTAATACGATGATACGTATTCTGACCACACGTTGCATGATGCAGGCAGTGTACTTTATCAGTGGCACACTGCAGCCGGAAGAATTCTTCCATTACGGTTTGGCCACACCTATCTATACCCACTTCACATCGCCAATTCGTAGGTGTGTATTGCAAAATATACTTTAGTAACAACTGTTCAAATAGAAATATTGTATATATTTTCAGATACTCGGATATCATTGTACATCGGCTATTAGCTGCTTCTATTGGCTCTGATAGCACATATGCCGATTTGTTGGATAAGAAGTTGAATGAAGAGTTATGTCATAATCTAAATTATCGCCACAAGATGGCGCAATATGCGGGACGCGCATCTGTAGCGTTGAATACGCATTTGTTTTTCCGCGGCAAAACACAAGACGAAGAAGGGTGAGCATACCTTGACATGCAGATGTGAATTTGAAACTAATTTTTTGCATTTACAGTTATGTGTTGTTTGTACGTAAGAATGCATTGCAAGTGCTCATTCCCAAATTCGGTTTGGAGGGCACCGTTTATCTAAACTCCTTATCCGGAGACAAAAAGTCCACACGAGGCGATGTAATATTCACGTTTAACGAAGAGGTGAGCCCAAATTCACTATTATATATCTTTTAAATATTAAATATCGTTACTTTGCCTAAAGGACTACACACAACGTTGCGGTGATGTCGTTTTCCATGCGTTTGATCCAGTGACTGTGCGCTTGAGTTTAGATTCGCGCAATGTTCAACATGAAAAACTCGTTTTTCAATTGGTTAAACCATACATCAAAGGATTCAGCGCTGAATTGACGGCAGAGCAGAGTGGCGATGTGGAAATGGCGGATGCAGCGGCGGCAAATGCCGCAGATGGTGTTCCGCCACAAAAGAAGAGCAAAAAATCGCAAAAGAAAAAGAAATAATTATTTTTAGAGTCGAATAAAGGTTTTTTTTTTACCAATAAACAAAAGTCGCTCCGATGCTACTTCGGTATTGTGTTTGCGCTTTAATATAATAAAACTAATTATGCCTTTAGCATTGTCTACAAGTGAAAGGCAGGAAACTCTTGTTGTTGTTGTAGAGATAGAAAATATTCCTTATTTTATTTTTTTTGATAATGATGGTGATTAGAACATTCCTAGACTGGATATGAATTCGGAGACGTTCCATTTACACAGACCCGCCTGTCGCAGGGACCAGCAAATGAAAATATTTATGTGAAAAGATTGGTATTAAATATGGGTGTACTTATATAATGTAACATCGTAAGGTGTACATCTAGTCAATTGTGTCTTCCCTCCTTCACTAAGATTCATTTAGCCCCAGCATCCGGATAAATTCCAGGATCGTGCTTGGGGTGAGTGGGGGCTCTATGCTGCAAAATGTTAACTCTAGAATTTTACTCATACTCCTGTAGAGTGCTACCTATACCAAAACCCGGTGGACCCGGACTTGGCTGTTGATCTTCTCTACGCATTTCTGAGCCAATAGCGATTTGATCTCGTAAGGCGCGTGCTACCTGACTGGCGAAAACATCTGAACTAGATTATTGAGCGGAAAGAAAATCATATGAAAAAAGTCACAAAATTTAACCAACTATAACCGATGACTGGAGTGAATGAAATAGTAATTCTTAAGAGCCGACATATGATGTTAATAAAAAAAACGTAAATGTTAGTTTTGATTGTTTGAGTCTTGCCGGTTGGAATAGGATCCTACTTTTTTCAAAGATGGGACAGTTTTCAGTCCGGTCGATCTCAAGAAGTTGCGAATAAAAGACATCAACTTGAAGTTCCGACAACCGGTACATTGCCAAGAGTCAATGAAATGAGTTCAGCATTTGAAGACTCACAACCTCTTATCTCAGTTCTAGTCAACTGGCGAATCCCTCAACAAGCATATGCACAGTATTAGACATAAACCTGAACAGAATACAAACTACAGTAGCCCTTGTATAACCTGGGTAGTGCAGCAGATAAAATTTCAGTTTTCCCTGGTTGACCCTTCGTTAACCCACTTATGCCACTGGCTATCTGTTCTGAGAACCTAACCACTCTTACACCAACAATGGAAACCTTATTTTTTCTAGGGCTCAACGAATTGGTAATAAAAGGATATATAAAGTTGGAGAATAAGTATGCTGTCATCATCATTAAGTTGAAATCAAACAACTTTAGTACCTAAATATGGGTAAATATAATTTTTGTAAAAATAAATTTGAAAACTTTATATACTTTTGGAACTCAGTCATAATGGGATGATCAAATAATTCTCTGGTGTGTTCCAATGGATCACGTAACGATGCAAAATCCGAAGGGGATTAGGCTCAAATAATGTCACATCCTTCACATTGATTGCAATTAAAAGTAAGATCGCGGAAGTCTATCTATATTAGTATAATATCATAATTTACCTATCAAAATATTTTGAGATTTGGCGTGATGCTCATATGAATAGTAACTTTAGCGATCCCAAATAGACATAAATATGCATAGATGTACATATGTATATAGGTATGGTCGAGCCTTTAGAAAATTGCATATTCGCATATCTTATATATGTATATCCCTATATACATACGCGTACATACCTACACACATATATAAGTCACTAGTAGCAAATAAATATTTTACAAATTCTGAAAATATACACTTCCACATATATGCACATTAGTATTAAAAAAAAAAAAATTGTATATGCATTTTTATGCCTAATTAAAAACACTACTAAAGCAATAAGACTGCGCTTCAGTGCACAGTGGCCAAAAATCAAAAAATCCATCTTCGAATTTTCGGTCAAAATGTTTACAAATTGCCTCTAAATAGTCGAATCTTCTTATTTGCAAACCGGTTTTCGCTGAAAATCTAACGGTACTTTCTAAAAATTGTATTAAAAGCATGAACACATGTTTATTTTCAAAGCGCATCCGAGCTTCGGGGAAATATTTCGAATCAAGAGCGCACAACAAACTGGTCTGGTAATTGTACAGGTAAATAAACTATATATATTTTTTATGAATTTTGAAGTTAAAGGTAATTACTTTATCTTATGAAATTAAGACCAAACTGATTTGTGTTTTTTCTGAAATTATTGTTTCATGTCACCTACTTATGTATTTGTTTGTAACTTTTTTGTGCGACTTCAATTTGTTTATATAAAGTTTTAACTGTGTTCCCCTACGATTCCTCCTTAAGTTTATTTTATATTGTCTTTATCAGAGTCTTAAGGTAATAAAAGTGTAAACGTTATGTGCGGAAATTTGCGGATGTAGTTGTAATCGTCAAAATACTAATGCCTTCTTATTTTTTTTTCGTCTTTCGTAATTGTTTACAGTTTTCACTGTTCATTTAATTAATATTATTTAAAACAATTGTAATTATGCTGTATTTGTTTTCAATTTTTGATTTCATTCTCAAAGGCGATTCGTATCAGTGTGTGCTTTCAAGACTGCATATTTTTAATTTAAGGTGCATAAAAATGGATAGCAATGCAAAGAAGTTAGAGAAAATGGTCGACGTTGTTTAATATGATATTGAGAATAATGGCTGTATACCTGAATTGAAGGAAGTTTTTATAACGATTGGCTGCATACATAAGTGAAAAAAATTGATGGTTTTCGGACTCGTTATGATCGCAAAAAATCTGCAAACCTCCAACACCAATATGATTGGCTGAATGTAAAGGAGCTAATTGTAAATCGACCGAAAATACATCTCAGCAAATAGCGGAAAGTGCTTGTCGGGGTCTGCAGGGAAAACAAAGCGAAGCCGCATAGCTCACCTGACCGAAAGAGATGAGTCCGCTGTTTCTGCTTTGCGCAATGAACGTCAAATGCAAAAAAAAACAAGATACCGAGAGATTATTTCTGTAGACGAATCTCATGCTGAAGTCGAATCAAGTTGCAAAGTTTATTAGACAATACAGCATAGAACATATTGGGAAATTCAAGGGAATGTAGTCGAATCAACCACGGGTGATTCAATTTGAATTGGAAAATGGTGATTTGATGGAAGTACAGCTCATAGTGAGTACAAGTAAAAAATTTCAAATAATGATTTTGAAGACAAAAACTTATTTGTTACATCATACGTATCTCTTCAACTAATTTCAAAAAGTAACCATACAATAATTTGGAAAAATCGCCGGCTTTCATCAACACGTTCGTTTTCAGTTTAAAAACAAGAAAATACCTTAACTTCGGTTGCACCGAAGCTGTAATGCTTTTCACAAATATAAAGGCTCCTTACGAGAACTTTAATTCCGATCATTCAATTTGTATGTCAGCTATATGATATAGTGATCTGATCTGGAAAATTTCTGCGGAGAATACACTGCTGCCTTAAATAATAATAAATGCCGAATTTCGTGAAGACACCTCGTTAAATGAAAGAGTTTTTCATACAAGCACTTGATTCCGATTGTTCAGTTTGTATGGCAGCTATATGCTATAGTGGTATATATAAGCAGACAGACGAACATGGCTTAATCAACTCAGCTCATCATGCTGATCATTTATGTATTATATATATTTTATGTCTCCGAAGTTTCCTCCGAAGCCCTGTTAAGGCTATAAAATAGAGACAACCAAACTCTCAATTGAAGAGGAATAATATTTTAAGGTCAGAAAATAGATACATTTAAGCCGACAGAATTATTTATATATAACAGAAAGATATTTGTTGAATATAGTTCACAATTGAAGATGGTGGATGGCAAAGTGTGCAATGCCTTAAGTGAATCATCCTCTTCCAAATATTACATATGTGTGGAAAATCCAAAGGATCTGAATAACTTGTCTAAATGTTTAAAGCAAGACGTGAACAGAGATCGTTCAACGATGCGATTTTTGTAAATACCAAATTGGCTTCCAAAATTACAGAACCTAATGAAAACCTCATCCATCGTTGTGCTACTATATTTCAAGCTATTGCCTCGGGTCTTGCAAAATTAATTGCCTTGCAAAATTAATTTGGACAAATTTTATGAATTTGCCCTTGAAACTGCCAGAGAGTTGATCCAAGAGTATCCATGTTACTATTAAGTTTTAATTCATGGATCTGATGTGCTAGAGCATGCTCTTGTATCAACTGGAGAGCTTTCGGAGGAAGCTGCAGAGTCGAGCAATTAGTTATTAAAGAATTGTAGACTCAATCAAAGCCACAATTGAGTCACGCATTATAATAAACACCGACATGTTGAATTCACTTCTTTTACGTTCGGATCCATTTATAACTGGGCAAAGAAAGTACTAGAGGAGACATTATAAATTTTTGGTATATTATTATAACGGCTGTTGAATAGCTGGGTAAATTTTAATGCATTAAATTGGTTTATAATTTGCCTTTTTCCTACATGATTTTTTGATATGATAGTATTCAGGGTGGGGCCGCTTTCTAATAGGTTTAATGTACATATCTCCTAAACCGCTAAAGCTATAATAACCAAATTCGCAAATAATACATATTACATATTTTTAGCACCTCTATCGACAGTGTGAAAATGAGTGAAATCGGGTGATAACACCCGCCCGCTCCCCATATAACGGTTTTAATTAAAACTACTCAAAGTGCGATAATTGATTAAATAAACCAGTCAGAGACGTTGAATTTTACACGTAGGATGATACAATTACGCTTTATAGGAGCCAAAACAAAAATTGTACAATGGGCGTGGCAACGCTCACCTTTAGGGAACAGTCCCTTTATCTCGACACCTGCCCGACCGATTTCAACGAAATTTGGTATGTAGCATTCTTTTGATATTTCTATGTTACAATGCGAAAATTGAAGAAAATGGACTACAGCCACGCCTACTTCTAATTTTTAATTCCTTTTTGATTCTCTCACTTTCTAGTATAAAAATCAAGCAAAAATTAATGTATCGGGATTAAACTTTCCACGAATAATGTCTTTAAAGTAACCCACCTTATGACCAAATCGAAAGCAAAACTGTTCAAGCCCCTAGGTACCGAATATGTGGACGCCATACATTTAGTAGACTTTTTACCGAAAGTATCTTTGTGCCTAAAATGGATAAAATTGAGTGACAACTTGACCCCATATAAATAATATCAGGATTTTTCGAACATCCGGCTTACTTTACTCCATGTGACTGATGTTGGTGTGTGAGGTACGTTAATTAAAACCTTTGAGCATTTTATTAGTCTCTGGCATGTTAGTATTATGTGATATTGGCAAAATTGATAAAATCGGGCCAATCCTACCGCTAACTACCATGTACTACATATAATATTTTTTTTTATTCTAACAAGTTTAATGCCGAATATGTCGGTCCGTGAGTATTATTTTAACATAACTATGCTTCAAATTCTGTTCTCGAGTATACCTGAGCAATGTCAAAATTAATGCAATCACGTCCCTTTTTTTATCGCCAATATACCACGTAAAATATTTTCGGTTTTACACCTGTCCTTTTAGATCTTTAAGTGAATTTAATTGGGAAAGTTTTCTTAAAAAATTATGTGGTTTAACGCTGAATTACAATGGAATTAGTCTATACCTTGTTCTAAACCTCATATCCCTAATATAATGAACTCCGATTCTGAGGTTGACGTTTTCCACATCAACTCAATATATTTCCCGGCCTTTAATTCTTGCAAGAGTATAAAATGTTCGGTTACACTCGAACTTAGCTCTTCCTTACTCATATGTGCGCCAATTAGCCATTTCTTTTCGGAATAAAATCATTTGTAGAATTTCTGAATCTTTCCGAAGGATTGGAGTCAGGAAAACATACACTTTCATATGGTACATAAGTATGTAAAAATATGTTTTTATATGCAATTTTATGCCTAATTAAAAACACTACTAAAGCATTAATACTTCACTGCAGTGGGGAAACTTGCATTGAAACAATGTAAATTTTATTTGTGTTTTTTATTCCGAAGTTAGTATAATTATTCACATAACCCTATTACTTATTTAAATGCGTTGTATGTGTGTGTTTGTTAAAAATCACTTTTCCCGCGACGCTCTTCTTCTTCTTTTATTTATACATTGCTTATGAATGCATAAGTGTTTTAAAACTCGAATTCAGTTTGACTTGAGCAACTCAAGACAACGGCTGTGTGTGGAATTGAAAACCGAAAAAGAAGGAGCATCGAAAGGAAAAGTGCCTTAGGCAAAGTGAAAAAGGATCAATCAAGGATATTAATTAAAATTAAAGTGTATCAAAACTTATTTAAGCAAATATTCGATTTCTCCGAGCATTTAAATAACGGTTTATCAATTCAAAGCAAATATAATGGCTGGCGATAAAGCACACAAAAGTAACCTTAACACTTTGCAGGGTAAGTTCTATAAACGCACATACACCGAGTAACTTTAAATCTACACACATAATTAATACTTAAATTATGCCTATAAACTAGATCACAGTTTTAAAAAAGGGTAATTAAAGCGGTTAACTATTTAATTGCCGGCAACAAGCATGTGAAGAGTGTGAAGTGACAGATGGCAGTAATACACATTAAGAGTGATAAATCACTGTTCAATTGAAAATCCGAAACAGTCGGAACGTACAAAAACAAGATTTTACTACATCATATTAGTTACTTTTTAGGGATAGTAAGCACAACTGGATTAAGAAAATCGGTTAAAAATGAAATGATATATTGTACTTAAGGAAAATATCTTATCTATGATGCCTGAGGACAACTGTTCATAAGTTAAATTCCGCCAAAATTAACAAGCAAAATTTTTCAGTGTAGTTATTTTAATATGTCACATGTAATCCTTTGGCAGGTTCTTCTATAAGTTTTTGCAATATTTCGAGAATCGTCCTCACTTTACCATACTTTACTACACTTCACACTAAACGCAGAAACCAAAAATGTCTGAAAAGTCTGGTACAGAGTTGCGTTATAAACTCTGTCGAAGATAATTATTAAACAACATTCGATAATGGAAGATCGAAATCCTGTAAACATGAATATTTGAGTAGTGGAAGATTTTGGTAAAAAAGTGTAAGCTTTGAAAATATGCCTCGGCAGAATTTGAACTAACTCCCGACGCATTGCGTGTTAATCGAGTAAAAAGTATATAGTATTATTGCAAGATTTTTCCAGAAAATCTCGGGATCATGTAATCTAATTCAAGCTAATGTTTCACTGGCTTTATTGGAGCGTGATAACACCAGAGCAGTACATCCATTTACAGCTGATGCGGATCCGAAGCGATCCAAGCGACATGGCGCAGCTTTGAGTCGTTTACGATATGACTCGGGTATTTTGTTTTTTGCTGGAATGTTTGACATAGTTAAGACCGGAACATATGGTTAATTGCCGCTCGCTGACAAAAAAGTAAAATATGTATATTTTTCAAGCCGCTCGAAAACTGCTGAACTTATTTGATTAACTGTTTAGATTAAAATATGCAGTTAGTTTTAATTTTTTGATTGAAATGTGAGTTTTTGTTTGATAATTTTGTTTTTGTTTAGAAAGGTTAAAGGTTTGTTCATTTAGAATCTGAAACTGCTTTTAGCTAAACAACGGGTGACCATCTATATACATATGCACTAGTGACTCTAGCTAAAAAATGTACATATGTATATACGGGTGTTTGCATGATTTAGTAAGCTAATATAAAGGCATAATTAACCAACAAATTAATTATTCAGACGTTTTACAATTTACCTATGTGGAATTTAAACGATTGACCTATGCACAGACGTCACGTCGAAGGGTGACAAAACATACACCGTTTTAGACCGTTATCATATTTTTTGAAATTCATATCGTTTGCGTACCACATGTTTCGTAAGCGATTTCGGCTGTCATAATAAACTGCAAACCCTATGCTTAAGCAATATATATTTCGATAATTAATATTAAACTAATAAATTACTCGTATTTATTGAGATAAGACAGGGAGTACGAGTATGTTGTGTAAATAAATGGTCTACTGTCACTTTAGAAATTCTCGTACTTTTGAACAGCTACGGGCCTTAATGGATTTTATGCTCTCAAAAACTTTTCTTGATTCAATATTTCTCGTCCCTTGATGTTAGATTTGAGGTTGTGAGGCTTTTTTTGAAATTGTTGTGTATACTCACAACAATTAATAGTTGTTGTTGAAACAACATAAAACATTTTCATAATAGTTAACGTTAATTTCTTGTTCTTTATCCTTATGGGTATAAATGTTGGTATGCTCCGGTGATGAAGACCTGAACAACATATTGAAAGTTGATAAATGAAATGCGAAGGCTACAATAGAGCAACATTGAACTTGGATTTAACTAAACGAAAACACATGTGATAAGTATAGTCCACCATACCGTGTTCCATAGTTGTAGGAAGCTGCAAGTGAAGCGGATTCTTATACCGGCCGATGTAAAGCATAAAAAAAATTATTACTAGCGACCGTCTATTTTATGTTGCCGTTCATTTTAACTTCTGAGTGAACTTAAGTAACTTAACTTTTTTTCTTAAGTTTAATATGTAGTAGCATATAATATATGTCTACATACAGATTGTTTTTTTTAGACATGTGGTTTTTAAGAAAAATCAAACGCATATAATTTAATGTTAGTGCTAAGAATATAGCTTTATTATAAAGATATAGGTTTGAAATTATGTTTTAAAAATGATTTCGGCTAAGCGATAACTGTGCTGCTGCTGGCAAGTATAAATTTCAGCCGAGAGGTAAAATTTTTAACCACTTTTTGCGGCAATTGGAGTCGTACGTCAGCAATAACGCGTCAATCGTTTCGGGTTTATCTGCGGAGACATAATATTATAAAACATAGTCTAGCGGCGTTAAATCGTACGATCTTGGATGTCACGCCACAGGCCCACGATGCGAGATAATGCGCTCACCAAAAGTTACCTTCAATAAATTGATTGTTTTGTTAGCTGTATGGCATGTAGCGTCATCTTGTTGGAATCAAGGTCATCCACATCAACATCCTCCATTCAGGCAAGAAAACGTCATTAATAATGGCTCTATAGCTTTCCCCGTGGACTGCAACATTATAGGCGGCTCCAATTGTTGCCTGCGGTGGATGGATGGAGAATTATTTTGATAATAAATTTGCACGAATTACAAACGTTAATACGGAATATGTCTGTTCACTATGAAATGTCAAACCAAGCTGAGTATAAATCAAGTTAACAGCTGTCAAAAACACAAAAAAGTATTGCATTGTTTAAATATCTGTAATAACGGTTAGATAGAAATTCGGTGAAAAAACTTATGTTGCCAGTAAGCATTTTACAATTACACAATTAAAGAAAATATGAACTTTTAGAAATTGTAATTAAACAAAAAATCATTTGTATATCCGAAATGGAAAATAAAATGGCATATCATCGTCTTCTATGTCGCCGTATTCTACATACTTATGTATGTATTCGTTTGTTTATATAAAACTGTAGGAATGTTGAAACATTAACCTTTCTTGTTTCGCTTTTAAAAAATATAAATCGTTTAGTGAATTTATGTAATATTGTACATTTAATACAATACTCCAAAGTGCACCAACAAATGGACATATTTCTCTTCCGTCATTTGAATTCAATTAAAAAAACTTGCATAATGCGAAGAGCCGCGGTAAAAAAGGAACACATTTAATCATTTCTTAAACGAATACATAATTTTTTTTTGGATTACCTTTTTATTCAATAAGCGAATTCAATTAGAAACGGCTAATGAACTCCCGAACTCGTAATTGAATTCTGATGTCCTACTATAAACCATAAATTACTCACACTTTATACGAACGCCTTACCTTTATTTACATTTTGCCACAAACAGTGGATCTTAATACTGCTGTTATAGCGGCAGAAACCATTCCCTATATTTTGAGCAATCTGTCGATTTGGCGGTCTTTGGTCGGATAATAATCGGTGTCCGTTTTGGTTACGTTAAATCGCTTGTCGTGGGAATGGAAACTTACTCCTCCTGTTGGTGGATGAGAGTAACTGTTTAAATATTATTTTGATTAAAAATAAAAAAAATTGCATTGGTTATTTTTCAGGTGAACTACTAAGTGACGCACACGATCCAGTGTATATGGATGCCTATAACCGGTCCATTTCGAATCCTGAAGAATTTTGGAGTGATCTTGGACGCTTAATCGATTGGCACAAGCCATGGGATCGTGTTATGGATAATAGAAATCCACCATTTACGAAGTGGTATTGTGGTGGTTATGTAAATGCTTGCTATAATGCTGTGGATCGACATGTACTCAATGGTAATGGCAATAAAGTGGCGCTTATATACGATAGTCCATTGACGAATACTATACGTCATGTCACCTACCAAGAGCTTTATGATGAGGTACTTTATACCATTTTATCTACTGCTGTTATGTACTTTAAATTATTTTTAATACTGTTAGGTCTCAGCTTTTGCTGGCGGTCTCGCAAGTTTAGGATTGCAGAAAGGCGATCGCGTCGTTATCTACATGCCACTGATACCAGAAGCAATTGTCGCTATGTTGGCCACGGTGCGACTTGGTGCTGTGCACTCTGTGGTATTTGGTGGCTTCGCTGCCAATGAACTTTGTATGCGTATTGAACATGCTGAACCGAAATTTATACTTTCGGCGAACTGTGGTGTCGAACCTCGTAAGGTTGTACCCTATTTAGACATATTGCATGCGGCTGTCGAAATGTCAAAATGGAAACCAATTTGTAATATCGTACACATACGCGAAAATATTTTGCGGAGCGGTAATTTGGATTGGAAAACTGATATGTTGTGGGAGACGGTACAACATTTAGGTCAACCAATCGATTGTGTGCCCGTCGAGGCTAATGATCCGCTCTACATACTCTACACCTCGGGTACTACGGACAAACCGAAGGGTGTGCAGCGACCAACCGGTGGACATTTGGTGTCACTGATGTATACGATTCAAAAGATCTACGGCCTTAGTCCGTCTGATGTGTGGTGGGCTGCCTCGGACTTGGGTTGGGTTGTTGGACATTCCTATATGTGCTATGGTCCACTATTACTTGGCGCAACAAGCGTTATGTATGAGGGCAAACCAGATCGTACACCTGATCCGGGCCAGTACTTCAGGTGTGCCACAATAAAAAATATAATATGGACATTGCAGTCACAAGGTTTATATTAATAAATCGTTCTTTTACAGAATTATAGAACAACATCGCGTCAATGCGCTCTTTTCTGTGCCAACTTCTTTCCGTGTTATACGTCGTGTTGATCCAGATGTTATATATGGACAAAAGTATTCTCTTAAATCTCTGCGTAACATATTCATTGCTGGTGAACACTGCGATATCGAGACAAAAAACTGGATAGAACGTGTTTTTAAAGTTCCAGTATTGAATCATTGGTGGCAAACCGAGTCGGGCTCGCCAGTTACTGCGACTTGTACCGGTTTTAAACACAGCCTGAACCCGCCAAAGTACACAACTGGTTTGCCATACCTTGGCTATAATAGTAAGTAAAAAATATTAGTTTTTCTTTACCATAGAAATTCATCTAGTATCCTCCAGTTAAGGTCCTAAAACCCGACGGTGAAGAATGTGAGACCGCGAAGTTGGGTCGCATCGCTTTGAAATTGCCGCTTCCGCCTGGATTCATGTCGACACTTTATAAAAATGACGTACTCTTCAAGAAAACTTATTTCCAGAAATATCCGGTAAGGCAATGTTGAAAACAAATGTTAATTAAGTAACTTAACTTTGATAAAAACTAAGGTACTTTTAAAGCTCCCAATATTCTGTCTCAATAATACATCAACTTAAGAATAATGTTAGATATCAAGCTGAGAACTACAAATATCTTAAATTTTGGGGAAATATTTTCCACAGTTGTTAAGTTATAATTTGTTTGTTATTTTCTCGTTTCTACTTTCATCCCAGGGCTACTACGATACAATGGATGCTGGTTATAAGGATGAAAATGATTATATTTTTGTAACGGCACGTGATGATGATGTCATCAATGTCGCTGGTCATCGTATTTCAACATCAAGTTTAGAAGATGCGGTTTTACGTCATCCCGATATAGTTGACGCCGCTGTATTTGGTGTGCCCGAAGCGACCAAAGGGCAGGTACCACTTTGTCTTTATATACCAAAGGATAATAGTAAGAGGACTGGTGCGAAACTCTCATTAGAAATCGTTAAAATTATACGTGATGTTGTTGGGCCTATCGCCGCTTTTCGCTTAGTGGCGCCCGTGGAGGCATTACCACGTACACGGTCGGGCAAGACAATGCGTCGGGTAATGGCAGATTTTGCAAAGAATCAGTTGGTAGAAATACCGTCTACAATTGAAGATCCGACAGTGTTTGCTGGCTTGCGACGAGCATTACAAACTTTGGGTTACGCAATGAATGCGCCGGATCCTACGTTGACTACTAAAACGAGTTCTGAGAATTGAAGGGATTTAGCGGTAACAAGAAATTAGTACATACCTAACATATGTACTGTTATTTTAAAGGTTATTGTATATTTATATATATGGTAATGTAGAACGAATATAAAATTGACTACGAAGTCGATTTCCTTTCTTTTTTTTTTTTTTTGATTTCATTTTAAAATACTTTTTATGAGGAGTTTTTAATGTAGTTATTGTTGCTGTAATAAGTAAAAGGAGTTCAGTAATTGTCCCTTGCGTTTTGGAATTTTTTACTAAACGGAGGTAAGATTATTATTGTTGTAGCGACATAGGCTAACAAATTGCCTCAAAACATTTGCTTAATACAGCGGATATATGTGGAGGTAGCCCTTTTCCGGACTTCGTAAGTATCGGCCCGTTTCGGTTTTGAACTCGACATTTAGTATATGTCCATATACATTGATAAATGGTTGGATCACCACCAACCCTGTGTCGGCACTTTAGACCATTTAATGAGTTTATATTTCGTATAAGAACGAACGTTACTCCACATATCCAACTCCCTTCCAACATCTTTCGGCGACATAAATAGTATGTGTAATTTGTATCAAAAGTATATGATCTCGACTGAAGAGGAGGACACCAAGTGCAAATGTGAATCTACTTCTTAGCAGTTGTTCTGCGGCGAGTCCTAAAGTAGGCGAATACTGTCTTATTGACAAGAAAGGCCCCTTCCGCCATGATAACGCATCTGCTCACATCACCGCCGTCGCTACGCTCAAATCAGTTATTAAGCTACGAACCGCTGTACCATCCACTGTGTTTTCCAGATTTGACTCCGTATGACTTCTTTCTTCCCCAGGCAAATTTCAGTCGAACGAAGAGATTATCGCTGCCAGGGAGACGTACTTTGAAGATTTCCCGAAAACGTATTTTCAGACGGGTTAAAGAAGTTGGAGAAACCCTAAGTCATGTGTATTGTGCTGAAAGAAAATTATATTGAGAAATGAACCTTAATTATTTTCAAAATTTTTGTTTTTCTTTTGTAGGATAAATATTTATTGGAACAACCTCGTTTATACATATGTATTATATGTAATGTGACAACAACCACATCAGTGACGGAATTAATGTCTTCTGGAAACTTCACCACCAACAAGTGTGACATAATCCGACTAAATACCCGAAGTGTTCGTGCGTGATGTACTAGGCACCACGTTGGAAGTGCAGTTGATGTAGCGGCCAGAATTGCAATTTGTTTATGCAAATTTTATATACATTCCATTGGTTTTTGATTGATTTTCACGCGAATGCCTACTTACTTAAAATGTGTGTATGTATGTACTTACATAACTAAACTTCGTATTTACCATACATAAAATATGCCAACAACAGCGAAGGGATAAACTTTAAACGTCAATGAAACTATTATCACTTGGATATACGCATCTTGGTTGTTGCTCGGTTACGATTAGATTTTAGAACTTTCAATAAATGGATATGTATATGTATGTATGTATAAATATGTGTACACAGTCGTACATATATCTAAATTATGAGCATACATTAAGTGTATCAAGAATAATGTCAAAAGAAAATAATTATATATGAAACAAGTAAGGAAATCTATCATCCGGCATAAACGAACTTTTATATTATTTAGGGATTCAGTTAATAATGGTTCGTCCAGAAGGGGTACGAACTATTAAGCTTCTTCTGGATGGAGTAACCTACCGGTAAAAGTCGCCTCTGTAGAGCTAAAAAGAAAAAAGTACCAAAAAATAAATTTATTTTCATTTTATACAATTTTGAAGTAATCTCGAACACTCAGCCTTCGCAATAGTCTCGCTGCCTACCTCATTTGGACATTTCAGAATACATACAGTCAAATTGTTATTTCACAAATAGTGTTCGATAAATAATTTAATTTATATTAAGATTGAATCTAAGAGTCTAGTGGTTTGTATAGCAGCTATATGCTATAATGGTCCGTTATCAGCATTTCGAACGAAAGAGCGGTCTTCAGGTCGATATCTCCAAAACTGACTCAGTTCGTCATGCTGATCATTTATATATAGATTTTATAGAGGTTTTGACGTTTCCTTCGTGGTATTACAGGTATACTGATGTGATATAAACGCGATATCATCTTATATGTATGATATATGTATGAAAATAAACATTTTGCACAGTAACTGACAAGGACTTTACGATTCTTCTTAAGCATACTTGTACAATGGAACGCCAAATTCAAAGCGCTTTATTCTGATATTCCCTCACTTCACTTTGTGATTTTGAGCATTCTTACGTACACGACCCAAGCCTTAGAAATCTTTTATTGTTAGTTCAGATTCGTAATCTTCGTATATTTTAATTGAATATATAGTCATATAAGAGATCAGTTAACTAAATGTGAATACCGCGCTTATTCAATGTGCGCGGGTATAGCTAGTCTTAGAATTTCGTCATATTTCTTTTTTGTAAGTATGTGTGTACATATGGTATATAGTTTGGAGTGCACAGAATGTGAGATATTAAATGCACACATTAGCGCAGGATAATGCGATTATACATATGTACGAAACATACTGCTCACAACGTCTTAACATATCTTAAACAATTTGATTACGCTGATTGAACGAATGGTGGAAAATGGTTAGAAGCTGTTGGAGTGCTGGTAACTACCACCCGTTTTTGTTTAAATGTATTTACGTAATTCTGCTTCCCGAGATGACCAACTTATGCTCTTTTCACAGTACTCTTCGAATTGTTCTTTGGATTTTGCCATTATCTTAGCCAGAATTCGAGAATTCTTTATCATGTGGTAAGCGACTCGTATTCCGAACACGCTCTTTGCAAAATTAATTGCGTTGTCTCAATGCAAATCCCAGAGTCATAAAGGACAGATTACGCGAAATTCCATCCCACTCCTCTTTCATGAATGCCCTTCACTGTAGCGCTTTGCTTTTTCACATTTACAAACACCTACCTAGATATACATACTACGGTCTAATTCAATGTTAAAATAAGAGGAATGTAAATGTAAATATATGTATTAGGGTATGTAAAAAAATGAATATTTTTTTTGCTTGATTTCAGCTATATGATATAATGATTTGATCTGAACAGTTTTTGCGGATAATACATTGTTGCTTTAAACAATAACTCGTGCCTAGGTTCGTGAAGATACCTCGTCAAATAAAACAGTTTTCCATACAAGCACTTGATTCCGATCGTTCGGTTTGTATGGCAGCTATATGCTATAATGGTCCGATATCGGCCGTTCCGACAAATGACAGCTTCTCAGTGAGAAAAAGACAGGTGCAAAGTTTCAGATTGATATCTTGAAAACTGACAGACTAGGGCGTATATATACAGACAGACGTATACACAACTGATCGTGAAGAGCTGAATCGATTTAGCCATGTCCGCTTGTCCGTCCGTCTGTATATACCATATACGCGAACTAATCCGTCAATTTTTGAGATATCGATTTAAAATTTTGCACACAGTTTTTTCTCCCCAGGAAGCTGCACATTTGTCAGAACCGTCGTTATCAGCCCATTATAGAATATAGCTCTCATACAAACCGAACGATCAAAATTAAGTTCTTCTATGGAAAACTTTTATATTTAATAAGTTATCTTTACGACATTTCTTGTCCAAGGCAACACTACAATTTATGAACGAATTGTTCAGATCTTTGTAAAATATTCTTCTTTTTACTTTCAACTTCGGCGGTGAATACTTAGTTTCAGTAATAATGGCAAGCTAATTATTTAGCTATTTAATGAACAAACAAATAAAAATATTAACGTTGATAGCATATACATACATATATACTCGTATAGCTGTACACATGTTATTCTTCAGAACAATGCGTTCTTGTGATGCAAAAAAATATATATAATATGAGCATATGTCGCCTGTTTTTTATAGTCTAACAACTATGGTTACAAACAATCATTTTTTAACAACACAAAAAATAGTTATACTCGTTGTTTTAGTTAAGCTTCTATAATAAAACGATATTTACCGGCATTATCCTGTGGTGCCTCTACAAAAGAGGCGTATTCCACATGACAGATAATTAAAAACATAAAAAGTGTATAAAAACTTATGATATAATAAATTGATTATGAAGAGGAAAGCTGTTGAATGCAATAAGCAAGCAGCTGCACCTTAGAGATTAGACGGCACACACGCGCATACACACATAAGTGTGCGTGCACGCGCCAGCGATAGTCAATGATGAATGTTCATAAAAAAACTTAAATATTTAAGATAAACTCAACAGTGTAACATTTTTTAAGCACACCACCACACATACACAAGTGTACAAAAATTAGTTATTACTGCAGCTCTTCAAACTTCACTCAAACATACACGCACTCACACTAACGTTTGGTTGTCAGCATGGTCGGCGAGGGCGTATGAGCAACATCCCACCCACAATGACAAACAATCAAAATCGCCGCTGGAAATGTGAGCCAATGGCAATGCTGCTTATTTAATTCCAGCATCCAAAGCCGAGTTCGTTCGTTGCATATAAAAAGACGTATCCTGTTTGCGATAAACATCATTCAAACAAGTGTGCTTCGACGATACAGTTGCAATATCGCCACAAGTCTTCTTGTACGAGTCGAACGCAAGTGACAGTTACTTTTGAATTTTTTCAGTGAGACTCACAACTGTAAACAGTAAAAGCAACAGGTGCGTAAAATACAAGTATATTGTATAGGTTTTAAGGTGTTAGCGGGTAAACGTGTGTTTTGCTCATACTTTAGCGAGTTATATGAAAATTTTTTGTGCTTCACAATAAAAATGTGTTATTTATAGAAAAAAAAGTGTAAATAACCGCCTACAACTGATAGTTAGTTAGTTAGGTTTCATTAGAAGATAAGGAACCAAACAAAAAACGTAAATATTATTTATTTTGAATTGAAGTTTGTGGAGAAAGTAAATATAGGTTAGAATAGCGTAATAAAGTTAATGCAAAAAGCTTTTACAAAATTCGAAACGTACACATTTATGTACAGTTATACATATGTATGTACATATAAATAATAGTAATAAAATAAATTTTGCAAAATTGAAAAATTTGAACAAGCAAGGGTTTTTATAAACGTAACTTGTTTTTCGGCAATTTACGAGTATATTTACTTTAATAAACTTATTTTCAAAAATGAAATTAGTAGTAAATTCGCTACAATCTTATTTATATTCATATTCCGACTTTTATTTTTTGTGATATTTACATTTATATTCTTCAATGCTGAACGCTGAGACATTTTTGTTCTACGAATGCCTTTTTCCGGGTAAATATAGAAGAAAACTGGGCTGACTGATGAACTTTGATTTCAATTCCGTTCAAGGGAATCAAAAAAGCAGCAGTTTAATATGAAACAGTTATCTGTTGAAATTTTTTCAATTAAAATAGTTGTGCATATTGAAAGTAGCCGCAGTTATCCTAGTGAGATGTATATCTGTTGAACAATGTAAAATAATATATAAAAAATGAACATAAAGAAAATGTACTTTATAGAAGTAGATTTATATACTACATGCATATTTATATAATCAAATGTGTATATATATATTATTCACTCTTTTGTAGTGAATCAAATGGCTAAATTTGTTCTTTTTTTACGTCAATTCTCTGTCAAAAGAGTAGAGCCCAAAAAAAATATAATGGTCAGTGGTGAATCGAAGAGGACTATTTTTAAAAGTAATAAAAAACAAACAAATTATATTAATTATATTGAAATATTTTTCTCGTTTAAATAAATTTTTGCTTTTATTTAAGTATATTATTTTCATTAAAATTTATATTGAAGAAGTTTAATTTATTACGTAAATATGAGTATTTTCATACGAATATGAATAAATTTTGGGTTTTTTTGCGGATTATAGTATTTTATATCTTAGTTTTTGTATATCTGACTCAAATAAAAATTTCAATTTTTGAAAAATATAAAAAACTTTTTGAAAAAATATTTAGTTTTTTAAAATCTTTATAAACAATTCAAATAAAGATCAGATTTTCGAAATACTAAAAGTTTTTTAATCTAAAATCGTTATTATTTTTGGGATATGGTTAATGAAAACCAAAAAATGGTAACTTCAAAGCCATTATACCCTTCACAAAGTTTGTATGGCAGCCATATGCTATAGTGACTCGATCTGTACAATTTGTTCGGAGCTTACACCGTTGCCCTGGGCAATAACCCGTGCCGAATTTGGTGAATATACGTCGTCAAATGAAAAAGCTTGGCACACAAGAACTTCGTTCCGATCGTTCAGTTTGTATGGCAGACATATGTTATAGTGGTCCGATATCGACAAATTGGCAACTTTTTGGTATCTCCGATATCTCAAAAACTATAGGACTAGTTCGCATATACATATACAGGCGGACGGACAGACAGATGAATAATATAACAGTGAAAAATATGGATATTTATGGTTAGGTTTAACAACATTACTTGAGAATTGGACGACATTGTTAGTTGAACGCAATTTTCAGAATTGTTGTGAGCACATAATTATTGAGTAAGGACAATTATGTAAATACAAAACCTCATATCAGTACACGATTACGTCGAAAATTCCTTTCAAACACTTTTCTAAAAAGTGTCTCTCTCTCTTGTGTATATCTACATACATATTATATATGTATACTATATATAGGACACACCGTACATATGTTATAGGAAGGTTACTCCCTACGCTGCCACAGTATAGTAAAAATTGCAATGTAAGCTTCGTTAAACAAAGATGCCCGTACAGCATACGCAATTGAGTAAGGTACTCGGAACTATAGGAATGGAATGCTGGTGCATGCATTCTTGCATATCTCATATACTCATATACGAATATGATATATTTGCATGTATGCTTAAACGCACGGACACAGCACAGAACGAATTTCATTCTAAACGTGACAAATGCCTATGAGGTGTCAAGCATCACTTCAGTCAATATGCTTCTAACCCTTTTTCGAGCAATTATAACACGCACCGAATCACGTGAACACATAATTATGTGTGTATGCGAAAGTGATTAAAAGCCACGAAGCTGGTGGAATTAAAAAGAACACATGGATATTACTAGGAAAATTTGTTATAATTTTCATAAAATGTAGTTGCATATTATGGTAATTGAAAATGTATTTGTAGCAGTATTTACCGCTAAAATTATGCTTTAATAACTGGTTTTCAATTTGAAGCACGAAATTAGCTCAATTGTATACTTATTGGCTTTTCATCATCACAAATTTCACAGAATTTCTGCCTCTGACCATACTTCTCAACATTTACCACACATTTACCGTTAGAGTTTTATTTTAGTGAATACACAGTGGAACGTGGAAGTATTTATTTCCAAAATTACTGAAACAATAAAAACGTTAACTTCGATTGCACCGAAGCTATAATACCCACAAGTACAAAAGATTCCTTACACAAACTTTGATCGGTCGTTTGTATGGCAGCTATATGCTATAGTGACTCGATCTGAACAAATTTTCCACACAAGCACTTAATTCTGACTGTCCTGTTGGTATGCCAGCTATATTCTATAGCAATACGATTAAAACAATTTCTTCGAAGATTGCATAGTTACGTTAAACAATAACCTATTCCAAATTTTCGTAAAGATATCTCGTCAAATCAAAAATTTTTCCATACAACCATTCCGATCGTTCAGTTTGTATGGCAGCTATATCCTATAGCGGTCCGATATCGGAAAGCAGCTTTTAGTTAGTTGCCAACAGTGTTAAACCTCCCAGTAGCATAACTAACATGAAAGTGCTTCTAATAATAATCCAACATTCACAGTGTCAATTTGAAGCATTTGAGAAAGATCTCCCATTTGCAGGCCACTTTGCGGGTATGACAGTATAAAAAAACGACCAAACATGTTGCATAAACATGAACGCTAAGCAATTACCGTACTATTATTGTATAAATTTTTATAAGAATAGAAAGCATAGTAATGAGATTAAAGATAACATTTTCATTAGTGTTTCAATCAGTTGCATGCCCTTCGGCCTTTCAAGCGACAGCTGTTCGTATTATACGCAAAGTAAATCAAATTGCTGGCATTAAATACGCACAATCTTTGCAAAGTATGCAATACAATGTTGTGATCGCCAAGCAACCGATAATCACTCGCTAATGTGCCGTAAAGTATGCAACGCTCTCATCATTTAACATTATATCATGCGCAAAATACGAGCCTGAGCCGTAAGATGCGCTTAAGAGCGGCACTTTATTAAGATTATTGCAGAATTTAACTTCCAGTTTCTAACTTATTGACATTAACACTCGTCTTTCCTGTTGTTCGCTTTTGTGGCTGTTTTGCAACACCACCTGTACGGTGTAAACAGCAGATTGATAGCGTGCAGAATAGCAAAATGCAATCGTGATGGTAATTTTTATCCATTATCCTCTTAACCTGCCCTCTTAGTGCCGTTAGAAGTTAGTGGTAGACGTACGTTCACACTCATATTTATTCGTAGTGCGTCGTATGTCATTTGCCAGCTGTCAATGACACACAATACAGTTGTTTGCCGGTAAGGAAATGCGTATTGTACTTGGTATATGTGCTTTGACTAAGTTGATATTAGTCCTTGTGGACTGCCAGTGAACGGTAGTTTTTAGTTTAGAAATAAAGATTTTATGGCAAATTCAAACTTGATAGTGACTGGGGTGTAGAGTAGTTTTATTTTTCATTGAGTTTATAATGAAGGCGAATCTTTGTTGTATATCTGCTAAAGTGTGAGTGTCACTTCTTTTATTTTATTACAGGCATTTATTGGTATTAGTCGATTTTTATGGCACTAAGATACATTGTCTCTTTACCATATTGTTTATGCATTCAAAAGAAAAATATAGTAAATTAATTTAAGTATTTTTTGTACTGAAAGTTAATTTATGTATTCATTACAATTTCAAATACACACTATGCTTTACAAAATATATATATATGCAATGCGGGGAAATGCTTTAGTTTCGAATAATTTATACAATAACGAACGAATTTAAGGTACATATATAATACTCATTATAATACTCTTAACCTTCTTACTACAAGATCATAACAAATTCTCTTCCATCTTAGAAAATAGCGAATCAAATATTGTGATGCCGTGCAAAGTGCCAATTGTCGCTTTCTACATAACTTCGCTACAGTTTAAAAGTTAGGAAGTAGTAATGAAACTCAATAGTCGACGAAGTGAACGGAAAGTATATTCTAACGACTGCCATTAGCTAGACATTATATGATATAGTACATTGATTTACTATTTAGCGCTACTAATAGCGCTATATTCTTTACTCTCAATGCATAATATGATTTACCAGTTTACACTTCTCTACAGGGTGTCTACTGAAAGCGTGTGTGTGACTGGTACTGTTTATTGAAGCGCCAACCTGTCTTAAAAAAAGTCTAAGTCTAAGAATTTTTATCAGCCTACAATTTGTAGCGTTGAGTGTAAGTTCTTCTAAGCTGCACTATGTACCATACATATGAATGAGTATGTGCAAATATACATATGCATGCCTTTGATTATTCGACTATGTGTTGCGCACGTTCTCGCTTGTTGCTAGTTGCATTCTCTATATTTTCGTTTTACATTTACCTGTATAGGTGTGGTAGATGCTTATATGCTCGCATAGATGACATAAACATTGTAACAGCGCCAGCCTTGATTTGATGGATCATTTGCACTAGCCTGTGTTGGCATTTGCTTTATTGACAGTTAATTCAATGCAAGCAGGAACAAGCAAGCATATTACCCTGTAGGAACCATATAACGTAAAAAATAGTTAGCTAAATAATATTTAGACAGTAAAAACCCGTTAGTATACTCAAATAAAATTAAAAGGTGCTATGGGAGCGATCATAACTCATAAATGTTCATTAATGTATTCAATACAGGGATGTTACACCATCTTATACACAATATTGATGAACATTGTCATTAATTTTTACACCGTGGAACCTCTTTATTTTTATTTTCAAAAGAAGAACCGTTCATTATAAGCCATTAGAAATATATTTTGCCTAGTAGATATCTATGTAGCAATCTTACAGCGTTGCTCCATATAATTTCCATTTACCATAAAAGTTTAAATAATTCACTATTGTATGTGACTGTTTCCAATCTGCCTTCGTGGGTATATAATATACTTTTTTATATTGCCGTCTTCGATTCGTCTCTTCTCTGCTCGTTATGTTTGAGCTCTGCTCGTTTTTCAAAAAATTAGTGTCAAGTCAAATTTAATAGAAGTGAAGTAATAATTAATATATAACCGCTTACTCTTCCATCTCTGTTTGATTACGTCAGCCTGCTTGATTTATGCCTATTGCTTGTTCTTTTCGCCACTTTCCATTGTATGGCGAATCGAAGACAACTATTACCATTTCGCCTAGTGGAATTTATAGTCGAGTCTTTATGGAGATTAGATCACATATTTATGGCATATAATCAAAGGTGCGTTCGCAAACGGAACAGCAATGAATAGTGCGAATATATTGACTTATTTAGTAGATATTGAGCAACAAATTAATGCATATACTATTTAATGGAAATGAAGGAAAACATTAAAGAATTTAAAGAGCACATAGTTTCAAATATAGAAAAAAATAAATTATATCTTTTTGTGTATAGTCTTCTGAGAAGGGTGCTTACATACATATGTACATACATTTATTTTTTCATAAGGGAAGCATTTCAGAAAGTTCAAATTCTAGTGTAATTTATTCCCAGCAGAAAAACAAAGATAAATCGAAGGTTAGATACAGTAGCAAAGAAAGTTGTCCCCCTTTTTACATTGACGAAGCAAGAAATACAATATCCTTGTTGCACCAAGCAAAGGAAACTCAAGGTATATTTATTGCGGTAGAATATATATTACTAGCACAAAATATGCATATAATCTTAAAACAGACAAAGAAAAGGGCGAAAGGACGATTTTCATATTACATAACTGTTATTTATGTTGATTTACGTTTTGTTTATACATACATACATATGTGTATGCTGATAATTTGCTCAGCATTGTCAACTGGAGATAAAAAATCATAACCTAAAATTTTTTTTTATTAACGGTCACTTCTCGTCTGTCAATCCAAAAGGTAAAGTGGCTTAATACTATTAACTTAATATTTTGTGGGGAGCATCAAAATAAAGGCCATTAATAGAAGAAAAAGTTCAGCTAAACTAAGAATCGGGAGCGTAAACTGAATTAAGACAGCCGCTTATGACTTAGAGAGAGAGAGAAAAAGAAAGGGCACGTCATATACTCTTGTGGGTTTAAAAAAAATTTTATGTCAGTTTTTTTTTCTTTCGATGGATCTTAAGCAAAAATTACAAAGAGTGAGTTTAAAGAATTTTTTAAGATTGAATTGATCGTTTTCGTGACGGTGATTCTTTTATTAGAAAGTATTCAAATAAACATCAATTTTATGCGATTTCATATGCATCGATTAGTCTTAGAATGTCGGTTATGAATCAAAGACGCTAAGGAATCAAGGAGCATTCTATGTAATAGTCCGACAAAAGCTGGAACAGCAATATATACAAGCTATATATGATACCAAGCAAACCAATCGTGAATAATGCTAGAAACCATTTTCGAGGTTTTGAAAATTGGTTTAAGAGGGCACGCTGCAGAAAAAGAGCCGATGCAAACAAATACATGCAGTCATGTCCGTAAAATATTGTTCGCTCTTTCGAATAAGCTATTAACATAACAAAATTAAACTCTATAAATATTTAAAATATATTTAGAAGATACAACTATGAATAGGCATCGCAATATATCAAACAATTTGTACATTAGTTAACCAAAAAGACATTGCTAGGAAGAGATTATTCAAAAAAGAAATTCTTGCTTATTTTACTTTCAGCATGTCAAGCCAAATCTTCGCAATCCTTTGCTTCGCCACCCTTTTGATCGCCGCTGCGCAATCCAGCAACGCCATGGGTGTGCCACCATTCTGCCAATCGGGCATGGTCGAAGATATGCCACCACACATCCAAAAGGTCTGTTCGGCATTGAACAATTCGGAACAATTGGCTACAGCGTTGAAATCGTACTTGAATAGCGAAGCCGCAGGTAAAATATTTCACTTTCAGAATTTTGAAAATTTCAAAATATTCATATGTGTTAAACAATCTTACACATTAGCACTGTTGACCGATCAGGCGCCCCTGAAGCGTTCCGATGTTGATCACGTTTTCTTGCGTTTCGGCAAAAGGCGTTAAATTTCCAGCGCCGCTAATGTTGCCACCGCCACCAATACATATTAACCAACAGTTGACCGTTTGATGGACTCTATGATTTGCAACACAAACACACACTCAAGCACGACCGCCATGTGAACAACCAACAATAACAAACGACCAATTATTGCAAATGAAAATTAAAGAAATTCGCTTTAATTTAATAAAAAGTTATTTAATCATAAAATAAATTAAAAATTATAGCAAAATTTTATGGTAAAATAAAAAAATGCAAGCAGTAAATTTGCAAACAAAAATATTTTTAAACTATTAAATATAATAAATTATATGTAATGTATTAAATTAAAAATAAAATGTATGTATGTATAACACATATTCTTAAGTTGATCTCTTTATAAAGAATTACAATTTTCTGTACTTGTGCATCTGGAATATATACTTATATATAATATACACGGCGTATACACACCAGATATGTTGGGAGCTTGTAAAAATTGAAAAAAAAATTATAAAACAGTTTTTAAAATTAATTGTTGTTTTTATTGCAATTGTAATTCTTGTCAGGCAAAACTAAAAGAAAAAAAGAAACGCATATTGGAAAAGAAAATTAAAAAAAAAATTGACAGATATATATTCTAAAAATATAAAAAATAGCACGAGGGAGCGGAGACCGCAGATATTTATAAATAAGCAAAAAACATATACATATATTTACATGTATACGAGCATATATCAATATTTATACTCACTATTAAAAGGCATCATTGAACCCAAAAAATTTTACATTTAACATTTTTGGCGCATATAACAAATATTTATTTAGTTCTAAGTTGTCGGAAATAATAACGCAGACCCGCAGATAAAGATGTATTTTGCAACAACTAATTATAAACATATGTATAAAAATGTAATAAAGCTATTATTTTCAATAAAGTGAATTGTTTTCTCTCTAATATAATAAACATAAAAATTAAATAACGATTTTTATTTGGTTATGCCACTAGATATATAGATGCAAACTCACAAACTAGAGTACTTTTGACTGGGAAAAACTTGGTAAAAAACCATTCGTTCGCAGACAGTTCTAACGAGTACATAACATTGAGAAAAATAAATGGAGAATCAGGACCAGCTAGTGAAGGTGTAGCGATATACGTTAGGTTGGAGCAGTGAATCGCATACTTAGTTGTTGTATTCTAATATTAAAATAAAAAACACATTAACTTCGTTGCACTGAAGCTAGAATACCATTCACAAATAAAAAAGTTTCCATACATGAACTTGTGATCCGGTCTAAAAAATTCGTTCGAAAGTTGTAACGTTGCCTGGGATAACGTTCTAGGCAAAAATTTCCATACAATTACTTGATTTTGTTCATTCAATTTATATGACAGCTATATGCTATAGTGGACCGATCTCAAAATTTTGTTCAGATATTATAGCATTGCCTTTGAGAATATTCTATGCCCAATTTCTTGAAGATATCTCGTCAAATAGAAACATTTTCCATACAAGGACGGGGATAAATTAAGTTGATATCACTTAAGGTTCTTTCACAGTGAATCCACATAATGTAGTCGGTATATTAATCTAAAAAAATTTGTTTGGTGTAAATCTAAATATCTTGGACATTCAACTACAATATACAAGGACAGCGTTGGCGGATTTGGATAATAGTACAGCTCCTCTACGTGTCGCTGGTTCTCACGGACTGCAAATCAAAGTATGAGGAAATTTCAAGTCATCGTCCATATGAAAAAGTTTTCTTCTACATTCTTTTTTCGTTTGAAACGGGTGTAAAAGTGACTTGAAATATATCGTTTACGCAACAATCTGTTGATAGTAGCTGAGTTTGCTCTTCTGAATTCTAAAGAATATATTTACTTGCTAAAAGAATTAGTTGCACTTTACTCGGTTTAAACATTAACAATACTGCAACAATCTGTTTAGCTTCAAGAGAGCGGAGAGAAACGCTCGATGCCGTCAATTCGGGCAAAATCGACTCTACACAGGAAAATTAGCTGATCTATTTTGTTTACGAAAGGAAACTTACTTTTATATGCGACTATATTGATTTAAGTATGTGCTAAATTTGGTTATGATCATATGAATATACGTATAATTAAACACTTCGATTTAAAGTTTTGTTTTTAAATTCCACTAAAACGAGAAATATAATATTAACAAGAAATTGTTCTCTTTATATATATAATAGTTGATTATACAGCTAAACACCAATAATGTGTAGATGACAATACAATTACAATACATACATATATATATATAATACAACTTTTTTTATGGTTATTTAAAATATTGTCCATAAGTTTAGTGTAAACACTATTAAATTTAAATATTTGATTACTTATTGAAGTGGTTTTAATTTGGAGACGATGAGATCAACACAAACATAACCCACAAATGCAAGAGGCCAACATACATGAGCACAAATATACGCATTAGCGGATAACGTCGAAGGAAGGCGCCTAAGCGAATGCCAGCAGAGTCGAGTGAAGAGTAGACACGTTTAACACGACGGGCCACACGGTTGTCGAAAGGATTCTCACGCATCAGAAGTGGAAACTGTGCTTTGACTACACAGACAAATAAAGTGTAAAATAATATACAAATATATGTAAATATAAATAGGTGTGCATGCAGGTACTTACTGTCATCAGTTGTATTGGATAACAATGAGTTACGCGAAAGCGGCTTATTGTTATAAGCGTATTGCTGTTGCAGTTGATCTTGCATTTTCTCCAGTTGTATGCGTAAAGCATTCCGTTCGGATGTGATGCGTTCGACAGTTTGCTGTTTATCCACCAATGTTTGTGTGAGCACCTTAATGCGCTCTTCAAACGTAGCTACCGCTGCACCATCTGCGACATGCACTGTTGCGATGCGCCGTTGCACCTCAGCACGTAGCTTTTCTAGTTGTGAATCCTTTTCTTGAAGGCGTGTCGCAGCTGCAGCCATTTGATTACTGAGCTGCTGTCGTAACTTTGCCAACTCTTGCGCTTGTACACGTTGTTCGGATTCTGTTGCGAGTAAACGTTCACGTTCCGTACGTAATTCTTTTCTTAACGTTTCTTCAGCTGCGCGTGTACTTGCCATATATGTGGTGTGTTGTTCATTAACCACTTGCCAATCATGTCGTAATTCTTCTATTTGCATACGCAAAGTACTACTTTCATCTAAGGTTTGCTGATGTTCATGCTTTAAAGCGTCCAGCTCCATTTGCAGCAACCGCAAATCATTTTCATCTTCGCTTTTTGTTGCTGAGCCAGCTGTTACACCATTTGCCTTTAGTTCGGCTATAAGGTTGTCCTTTATTTGCAGTGAGTGCTGCGCTTTATGTCGATATTCTTGAAGTTCTTTTCGGAGCTGCTCCGTTTCCTTCATTTGCATATGCAATTTATGTGCCGTCTCCAAGTACTCTTGTTGCAGTTTAGCTAAATTAGTTTCGAGCTCTGAAATTGTATGCGCATATACACTGTTGGCACCCTGTGCTTTGCCCAGTTCATATTGTGTTTGATCACGCTCTTCGGTTAAACGTTGTAATAGTGTCTCCAAACTTTGTATTTTTGTAAGAAATGCGGTTTTTTCATTATCACGGTTTATTTTTGTCAAGCGTGCCTTCAAGTTGTCACGTTCGCTAGTCACTTCGCTTAATGCAATTTTAAATGCCATCAACTCTTGACTTTCCTGCGTTCCAGTTAGAAGAGATCCTTCTGTATCAACATTTTTCAGTATGTCATGTTTCGGACTTGTTTCTTCCACTTCAATCGCCACAGCATCGGGACGTGAATTGGTGGAACTGCGTCGTGATGAAACAGTAGAGTTTATATGCCATTCAACTTTATCGCTTGCTTCCACTGACTCAGGCAATGCAGTGTGATATGAAGCGTTTAAAACATCCGTATCACCTTCTACTGATTTACTCATATTGGCACTAATATTACCTCTTGCTTTGATTGGGGAAAATCCTGTTTTTAATGACAATTTACTATTGGATAAGTTGCGTCGCATCGCTTCCAAAGCGTTACCTTCGCCACTATCACCATCGCCTCCTGAAGTAGCTGCTACTTGCAATGCAGTGGCGGCATTTTTATCTAACTTGTTTAAAATATTTTCGGCTTTGTCTGCTAAGCCCGATATCCACGCCATTTTTGTGTTGTCGTGGCGTTAATTAGTCAATTTTTGTTTTTAGTTGAAAGTAAACAAAATTGGTTTTTAGTTTGACACCATCAAATCTGTTTTTTTTTCAATAGTGAGTGATATGGGGGTATTTATGAGAATCAGCTGATTTTGGGAAATTTTAAATTTGTATGCTAATGGTGCAGTTATTCCATGACCATATACACAACAGTCGTAGTAGAATGAGCAGAAACATTTTATATTGTATACTCGTTGATGTATTTGTTGGGATTCAGCTATAAATCCCACAGGAGCCATAATCACTGTAACCGTGGAACATTATACAGTAAGATCGTCCCACCACAGTCATAACGAGTCATTGCATGGTTGAATTATTCAAACACGTTGTAGAATATTTTATGCTACTACAACAACGATTGCCCTAATGGCTTGTACTCGTAATGATGGAAATATGGTTAAGGAAGTTTAGTGTTGCTATTATACCCTGAACAGGGTGTATTCATACACCCTATAATATATATAAATGATAAGCATGAGTCGATTTTGCCATATCCATCACGTCTTTTTCTTCTCAAGAAGCTGCTCCTTTGTCAGAACGTTCGTTATCGGACTACTATAGTATATAACTGCCATAAAAACTGAACGATCAAATACACGTCTTTTTTAATACTTAGTTTTTTATTTGAAGAGATCTCTTTACGAAATTTGGGACGATTTCGAGATAATACAAACTGAACGATTAAAATTAAAATAAAGATCGTTTTATGTTATAAGAAATGCACCTGTGAAGGGTATTATAGCGTCGATACAGACGAAGTTAATGTCTTTTTCTTGTTTCTTTGAAAACCAATATAGATCTAGGATTTAAGCGCCGCAATATTAGTTTTATTATGAACCAGGGTACCGAATTTTGAGTATTGAAAATTTTTGGATTAAAAATTAAATTTATCATTCTTAGATGGAAATCTATTTTTAATTTTTTAATTCTGGTTTTTAAACTCAAGATGTTGAGATTAAAATTAGAAATTTTGTGTTTTATCAGCATTAAAAATCGATAAGAAACAAATCGTTTGAATTTGAAAGTTTGCCGACCAGTGCTCTAGAGTATTGAGTACGATGACTCAGTGCGAGCTCTAGTTTAAAATGGTAAAAAAATTAGTACGCCAACGCAAAATATGTAAATTTTAAAACAATTTCTTTGTTAATTCGTTATTTTATTTTTTGGATAAAAAATATTTTCTATTCGGTATTTGGGAATAAAAATTAATTTTTTTTAACTTGTACTTGTTTTTTATGTTTTATTCAGGTATTTGGGATTAAAAACTATTTTTAATTTAAATTGGGATTAAAAATTAAAAAAAAAACAATAATTCAAATGTTAATTCAGTTATTTTTTTAGCATTATTTTCTGTTATGAACATGTGTACATGTACAAATGCTTACCTTAATACGTTAGCAGTTGCTGGCAAGATGTTTGCTCGCTTTTGAAATATGTATATAGATATTAATTCAATTCATATAAGCTTTATTAAAACCACGAAATTGTTTAAAAATATGTTTATTGAGTCAGCTGCAGTACAGATGTTATTCATTTATTTTCTACACATAAACGAAAAGTAGTAAAAAAGGGATAAAATTAAACAAATCGGCTCATAAGAACAAAAAAAAAATGTAAACAAACAAAATATAATTATTTTCGTTAGAAAAAATAAAGCAATAAAATATTCGTTTCAATCAGTACTTTTAAGTTTGTGTCCAAAATCTTTAGAATATTCAATTTTTTTTATTTGAATTTATCATTATTTAATATAAATGTGTATATAAATCAGTCTTCATAATGGCTTGTATGTATTACTGGAGTTCTGTTGCTTTCGATCATTTCAAATAAACTTTCACAAAAGTACATATTTTGGTATGAAATTTTTGGTCAGAATTTTAGTTAACTAATTTTTTTATCGAAAAAAGCGATGGTATTCAATCGAATAGAATTTTCAAAATGATCTGCATTTTGATTCAAGTTTTTTTTTTTTTAACTATCCATATAATAATTTTTGCACAACTTTGCTTTTATGCCATCGGGTTTTTTGAGCAGACGCTTTAAGAATATTTGTACTATATTTTTTATTTGCTAAAAACTCTTTCTAATGAAGCATTTCTTGGCAATTACAGCATTTGTTCGGTTTTTAAACGTTTTATTGGAATGTGATTTTTATCTTTTAAGTATTTTTGCTTTATTAGTTTAAATACAAGCTTTGTGCTTAATTAATTTATTTTTTTGTACTTTTTCATTTGATAAAATTTGGTGTTTTCATATTGCAATATTAAAATCTGTCTTTCACTATATACTTGTTATTTTCTTTTTAAGAGCTTATTTGCCAAAACATTTTTCGCAGAGAACATATTTCAGGCATTCTCTGTATTTTGCAGCCGAAATTAGTTGATTTTTTCGTTTCTTATATCTTCTTAGTTAAAAATTTGCTTGTAATAATAAGCGTGTTGCCGAAATGCCTGTTCAGATTTTATATTCAGACAACCATTACTTTATGTTGGCTTTTTTGTTTTATTATGAATATTTTATCAATAATAGCACGCTGTTATTATTTCTCATATTTTTGTTTCTTAATTTTTCATTTCATTTATACTGTTTATTTATTGCACTTATCTAATGTCTTGGTTTGTTTTTTTTTTTTTTATAAAAAATCATAAATTTGTAATAATAAATCAATGAGATACAAACAGAAACAGTTGTAAACTTATATGTTGGTATAATTTTAACAAAAATTAAAGAATTTCAACAAAACTTGTACATATGTATGTAATTCAAAGGAATTTTAAAATTTACCATTCCTTGGTTTATCCATTTTTGAATTCTTTCTTGCATCCGGGTTGAGCAAATCTTTTATTTTTTGTTTTTAATTTTTTTGTTTTGTTTCGTTTATGGCAAAACTTTTTTATATCACTTATAACGCCTTTTCAGCCTGTAAAGCAGAGAACTAAACTAAGAAGTTATTTTTCTTATATGTATATATGTATGTAGGGAGCAGTGACTTTGAGCATTGCGCACTTCAATTAATCACATTAATATCACAGTTTGTTACTTGCACTTACCATTCTTCACATTCTATTAGTTCATGTGAGCAGATTTCTTTAATATATGTATCTGTTAAACTTAAATTATTTAGTTGACCAGTTTTCGAATTACGTTTTCGCTCGTTGAGCTTCCATATTTTTCATTTAAAAAATAATATACATACTATAACTCGTTGCAGAACGAGTAAAAGTTGCGTGAATTAATAACAGTTAAAAAATAAATACGTTTGGTATACTGTATATATGGATCATTTTAAGGTAAATTTTTTTAGGTTTCATAGTGTTATGATATTTTCAAAAATTCAATTACTTCTTTCTGAAAAACATTTCATTAATAAATTTCGGATTTTGAATTAAATTAGTTCGCTGCATATTTTAAATGCTATAGTAAAAATTTTTTGGCCATTTTTGATTTCGACAAATGAAAAAATGTCTAATTCAATTAATATTTTGCAATTTAACCATTTTTACACGAATATTTTTGTGACAATATGTTACAACAAATAGTTCCAGTCGACTTAGACTAAGGTAATTTTTTTTTTGATCTCTAGTAAAAATTTAGCATTTTTAAGAAATACCATATATTATATTTTAGCATTATTCGTAGCTTTTGATTCTAAACAATTATTTAAACAACTTCGAGTCGCAGCTTTGAATAAATTTAGCTTCCACCATTAAATAAAGCCGACTTACGCTACTTTAACACAATGTCACTGATTTAATCAATATTGGTAAAGCTTTCTCTCTCGGGGTATACTTTTTCACTGTGTTCAAATGGATTCTGATATTTAATATTTTCAACAAATGTTTTCAGTTGAGTTGAGATCAGGCTCTAATCGCATATTTAGTTACTATAAAATTTCAGCATCAATTAATATTTGCCAAACTTTGTTTGCACTGAAACATGTTTTTTATGATACATATTAACGTTGAAACTCACTATGTTTCTGTCTGTTTCGAGTATTTATATAATACATATTTTCACAAATTCGATTAAGGTGTTTAATTCTGAATTCATATACTTTAATGTTCTTCTTACTCTTTTTTTAATTTTAATTTAAAAACTTTAGAGCACTGCTTTCGAAATATTTTTGTAGGTGGTGATGCATTACTTTTGAAAACTTCCAATTTGAAAAAATGTATGTTTCTTTAGTCTCCATTTTTTATCATGCTCGTCTGCCATATCTTGTTACGGCAACGTGTGATTATTAAGTTATTTATTTTAGATTTTTAACACCCCCAAGATAATAAATAAAATTAAAGTAAACATATTATAAAAAATAAATATGTTCATATGGGCAAATATTTAGACTTGTTGATGGCTTAAATTCTACTGTAAAACAGTTTTTCTTTCAGCAATTTAATGGTTAAGACAGAAGTCTATCTGCTGTATAACAGTGGTATATGATTTTTTGCTTCACTTGTTTAAAATTTTTTTTTTTGTTGTTTCAAGGATTGTACTTTTACACAAATTTCAACTTTTGCTTAGTCTAAATCAGGGCTGCGCATTTTTTACTTCAAAAATTGGATTAAAAAATACGAGTTTTAATTTTTAATCTCAAAATACGGAAATAAAAATTGAAAATTTTCCAAGATGTTGGGATTAAAAATTAGATTTTCAACTATTATTAAACATTTTTTAAAATTGAAAATTTAAGTTTTAATCCAAAATGTTTAAGATTAAAAATTGCAAATTTTATTTTTCAATTTAATAGTAAAACTTGAAAATTTTACTTTTAATATCAAAATCAGAATAAAAAATTGATAATATATCAATCGTTTGAATGTATAAGTTGGCCGATTAGGGCTCTGGAGTATAGAAAATGGTGGCTCTGTGCGAGTTTTATTTCAAAATGGTAGAACATGAAGTACGCAAACGCGAAATATGTAAATTTTAAAACAATTTTTGTTTTAAATCTTCATTATATGCTTGGGATTAAATTTTTTTCAACCCAGTATTTTGCGATTAAAATATTTTTAATCCCATACTTCCGATATTTGGCATTTGAAATTTAAAAATAATTTTTAATTTATATTTTCGTGATAACAAAAACGAAATTTATCTCAAATGTTAATTCAATTATTTTTTTTAATGCATTATTTGCAACCCTGGTCTAAATGCGATTTTATGTAAAAAATTTTAATAAATTCAGTATGCTGTTATGCATACAACAAATTAAGCGGAATATCTAATGTAATTGCGTTTGGCCACCTTTTTAAGCGTTACGTTGATTTTCTATTTAAAAATTAACCTATTTTGTGTAATTGTATCACAGATTTGTTGCGCTTAAAGCATTTCAATTACTTATTCTAAAAGTTTGCATTACTTTAACTGTAATATAAAATTAAAAAAACAAAACTGGCATAAATATAAAACATAAAAGTCTGTGAAACTCACTTTCACTCTTTTTGCTTATGCCAAAGCGAATCGTTGCCGCTGCATTCACATATATATTTGCATATATTGATTGCTTAATGTAGGGATTGCGCTGTTCTTTGCGCAGTTATTATCGTTATTGTAGTATTTTTTATTTTATTTTTTTTTTTAATGTCTGTAATTTGAAGTAAAATTAATGAGTTACAACAATTTGGGTACTACTAGCTTTTTATTGAGTTTAAGCATATACTTTTTGTGTTTTTTCGTAGTTAATATTTGAAGTTCTAACTTGCAGCATTTCTAAACATACACCATATCCAATTTCATGTAAAATAATTGCTAAAATGTTCTACAATGCGTTAATGTTTTGAAGTGTGCTTGCTTTATATTTTTTTTCATATAGTATATAAGTTTTTAGTGTTACACATATGCATATTTTGTTTAACAGTGTGTTATCAATTCTTTTTTTATGTGTGGAAAATTAATTTAATATTTTTAAGTTTTTATACAAAATGTATGTATATTGTTTAGTCATTAAACAAAAATAAAACATAAATTTGTCGGCCACGAAAATATGAATTTCAGCTTAAAACTAAATACCTATAGCAATTTGGGGGTCACTACAATTATCAACTAATCTATTAGTTTCATACATTCGGTCACGCTTTCGCCGAAAGTCGCTTAAAATAGATAAAATAAATTTGCTTCTTCCTTAGTTTGCCTGCACTGTATTACAAAAACAATAATAATAATATAATATTCGTTCCTGCTAATTAAAAATAATGAGTTTAGGTGCAATTCATGTGTTATTTATTGCATAGTCATTCAATAAATTGTATTCTAGTCAAAATTTTAAAATATATGTATATCGAAAATTAATGGTCAAAAGTTAGCCTTAAATATAAGCTAAAATAATTCATGAGAATTATCTGGTTATTTGCATAGCAAGTTACTTCTTTTGTCCGTTTACTTTTTGCTTTTTTTTTTTAACCGAGTTGTGAGAGGATTGTTTGATTGATTGGGACGCTAATGGAGGGAGGAGTTACGGGACAAAATTCGCTTTTATTATGTTGATAATTTATGAAAAAAAAAATAAAAATTTGATTACTTTTCTTTCTTAACACTAAACATCTAGTAGATCAAATGGATTATACATTATGTTGCTGGAAATTGCATATGATATCTTAATGCACATATATGTATATAGTGGCTTTTCACTTTAATAAGAACTTTTAATTCTTGTATGTTTCATCAGCAGTTTCTTTCAACGCACTATAGTATAATCATCCATATACATATAGATTTTTAATTGTTTCAATTTTACTTACATCTAAACGTTAAATAATGAAGTTAATTTATATGCTCATCATATTTGGCATAAACTCTTACATGTTTTCACTTTCACATTCTATTCACACAACAATTGCAACAGTTACCGATTCCTTCCTGCAAATATGTATAATTTGGAAGTTTTTTACGCACAGCGTTGAATTGTGTTCCATCGTCAAATAGTTTTGGATTTTTATTTTAATAATAGCCAGCTGCATTTGAATAACCTTGCTGATACTGTGAATCTGTTTTAGACGAATTGGAAAAAATTGTGAATAGAATTAGAAATCTTCACAAATTATGACTGTGTTCAAACTAAATAAGATTTTGCACTATTTATACGTAACTTCAGTTGTAAATTTGTGTGGCAGTGAACTTTATTTAATTGAAACATATGGAAGTGGAACTTACCATATCCAGCGTAAGCGCGCTCGTCATAAGCTTGCTGTCCATGCTGCGAATAGTCTGCTTGAGGTGCTGTATTGTAATCAACAGCTGGCGCACCATACTGCTGGGTATAATCTTGACCGTACGTCTGGTAACGCGTATCTTGTTGTGTGCCATAGCTACTAGAACTGCGGAAATAAGCCAAAATATGTTTACACAATATTCTAAACGTAAAATTAATTCTTACCTATAGGTTTGGTATTGGCTTTGATCGTATTCGGTACCCTGTGTGGAGTAAGCACTACTGGCCTGTGGTGCTGCTTGTGCATGTGTAGCATACCCACTTTGTCCATAACCATTATAAGATGATTGTGTTGCTGGCGCAGCATACGATTGAGCATACGGATCGACTGCTTGGGATTGATCATGTGTCGCATAACTATGATGGCTATATATGCATATGAGCAATATTAATAAGTATCATTTATACAGTAGCAATAATGTATACCTTTGTTGTTGTTGATGGTGACTAGGTGGAGCACCATAACTAGATGGTGGAGCCATTGGAGCTGCATGTTGCATTGGCTGGTGATATTTTGGCACCATTGGTCGTTGTGAATAAGGACCACCCTCGTAACGACCACGTTTTGGTCCCGGTGGACCACCTGGTGCACCACGTTTCAATGATGGTACTGGGGCAATTTGTGTATTAGCGCTATGCGGTTGTGAGTGCATAGGAGCTCGCGAAATTGATTGACCATAGCCACCGCGACCACGTGGTGGACCTCCGCGTCTCATTGGCATTTGAACATGTTCTCCACCAAGACCCATGCCATGCATACCACCATTTAGGTGGGAATTATATCCGCCACGTCCCCGAGAGAAGGAACCACGTCCACGAGGTGGTCCTCGAGATGGCAAACTACTTACACTACCATTAGAACTAACTGCCACCGGTGCTGCAGCAATGACTTCAGGTGCTGTAGCGCTACCATTGTTCGTTTCTGCCAATTCTGGGACTGTGCCATCAGCTGCTGGGGCTGGAGTGACTGAGCTTGCTGTTGGTACAGGTGAAACTGTTTTATTGTTTTCAGCACCCGTATGTTGCTTTGCTATTGTGTGTGTATTGTGAATGATTTCATTGATATAAACAAAAATCTAATATATACTGCTTTACTTACGTTGAGCATATATGGGTGGGCGTCCACCGCGCATTGGTGGTCCACCTCCGCGTGGCATATAACTTCCACGTCCCTGATAACCTGAACCTCTTGGCGCACGCATACCACGTCCCCCCGGACCCATACCTTGAGGTGGGGGACCACCACCTCCCATCATACCACCACCCCGACCCATATAATGGCCCCTACCCATGCCTCTACCGCGACCGCGTTCAAAGCTTCCACGCATTGGTCCACCTCTGCCGCGATAACCACCACCACGTGGTGCTGGTGGACCTGAGGGCGCGACCATACCTGCTGGGGGTGCTTCCATTTTTATATTACTTCAAATTTTTTATCAATAAAACCTTTCAACGGTTCCTTTTAACACAATTCTTTTCTTTTGTGTATACTTTTATAGATACATTCAACCCGGCAGTTGTTCAGAATGACAAATTTCTTATGCAATTATGTTATTAAATTAATTGGTTGCACACTTTTCACTTATTATGCTAAGATATACACTTATATTGAATTTTATTATAATTTCATATTATTTTCAACACTTTATTCCACAAAATTACTAGATTTACTGGCAGAAAAAATTACACCATTCAAGAACTTTGTGAAAAAATATGGCGTCGCATTTGATATCGATTTTTAGTTAACAGGGATGTATTTAGTGCACAATGACCACCTCTCAGTTAAAGTTGTCACGACTAGATTATTCACACATAAACGTTAAAATTTCATGTCTATTTTATTTTTTATTTAAAAATAATATAAATATTTTATAGGTTTATAATGCAAGAACGAGAAATACAAATTTATGTTTGCTTATAAGAATTTTTTTATATATTTTGCTCATTTTATTAAAATATATGTAAAATTTTAATTTATAACGACATGATGACAATTTGCGTTTTTATTTAATAGCATTATTGTATTGAATATATATATATACCAACATAATATAAATTTTATAAAATATTTGGAAATTACGCGTATGTTAAGTAATTTCCTACATGGCTCCCTTTACTGATCCCACTTTTGACAGCTTTTATTAAATATTTTGAGAACAGTATGCATAGATTTTCCTCACAATAAATTTCCGTGTTGAAAGGAGGTGCAGTTTTCTTTTAATTTAAATTAGTGCTAATAACTTTTGAAAATTTGAACATACTTCATTCCAGGAAACCGAGGGTTTTCTTACTTTCATAAAGGCGATCGTTGTAGTCGGCACACATTGCTGCAAAGAAAGGAATTGCATTGATTACTGCTAGCAACGTGTGTTATATCGTTCGCCAAAATTCAGAGCCATTTGTGTCTGCATGTGTGTGTAAAATAAATTTAAATCGGTCAGGAGGCGGGGGAGCACCAGCAGTGATAGTCAGCAGCTGTTAAAATGCCAGGCAAAGTCGGTGTAAAAATTAAAGCTGGGCGCAATTTGCCCGTAATGGATAGAAGTAGTGACACCACCGATGCATATGTGGAAATAAAATTGGGCAATGTTACACATAAAACGGATGTCTGCCGTAAAAGTTTAAATCCACAGTGGAATACTGATTGGTAAGTGGAAGTAACGACAGTAGACCTGCGGGTTATATGAATATGCTTCTTTGTTCACGCACCAAATTTAAAGTATGTAGCAATCTGATCAAATTTGATAATTTGACAAGATAAGGTAGTATAAGCGCAGAGATATAATGCCAGTAATGTTATTGTTTTGTATTTCTTAAATAATTAAAATTCCACAATCTTCATATCTTAGTATGGACTCGTAATAACTTAAAGCAAATTTATAGACCCTAAACAGGTATATTAAGTTTGTCACGTTGTTGGTAACCTTCTTAAAGGCACTTAGAAGACCCTGTAAAACATATATATAATCGAACTAGTCCCTCAGTTTTGTAGACCTCGATCGGAAATTTTGCAAACATAGAGTATATACATATGTAGCTGCCATACAAACTGAATGATTTAAAGCAGGGTCTTGTCTGGCAATATTTTTTTATTAGACAAAATATCTCCACAAAATTTTGCACGGATTATTTTCGAAGGGAACGGTACTATCTCCGAACAAATTGTTCAGATCGGACCAGTATAGCATATATAAAAATTGTTTTATTTTGTGAAGGGTATAATAGCTTCGGTTGCACCGATTTTTCTTGTACTAATTAAATCTTTGAAATAGGTTTCGCTTCGAAGTGGACGATGCAGAATTACAAGACGAACCGTTGCAGATACGTTTGATGGATTATGACACATACTCAGCAAACGATGCCATAGGAAAAGTGAATATAAGTTTAAATTCGTTATGCTTGGAAATGTCTGGACCAACAACCCACGGAAAGGGTACTGTACTATCTGGTTGGATACCAGTTTTCGATACCATGCATGGCATACGCGGCGAAGTTAATGTGATAGTCAAAGTAGATTTATTTTCGGATTTAAACAAATTTCGACAGAGTTCATGCGGTATACCGTTCTTTCACTGTGAGTTACATTCTACCGAATGGTTTTTTTGATACTAAAGAATTTTTGAATTTACAGCACAATGTATACCTTATGGTTATCGCGCACAGATGATACATGGTTTTGTCGAGGAACTGGTAGTTAACGATGATCCTGAATATCAATGGATAGATAAAATACGTACGCCGCGCGCTTCCAATGAGGCAAGACAAGTGGTGTTTCTGAAATTATCGGGACAGGTATGGGTAATACAAAATAGCGCTGCATTTTTAAATACTATATGAGTTTTTGTTATATATTTGTCTACATATATATTTTTTCTCTCACAAAGGTGCAACGAAAAATGGGTCTAAAGGCTATTAATATGGGTGCAAATGCCGTTATTGGCTATACGCAATGTTTCGACTTGGAGGGCGATGTAGGTGTGGTGGCGCGTGGAATTGGCACTGCAGTGACCTTGATCAAAGATACAAGCAGCAGCCAACCAGCGGCAGGCACAGCTGATAATGCGCTAATTGAAGAGTGAGTATTTCCTTTTTATATATACATACATATGTTTCCACATACCTATGTATGTTCACTAGGTGTGTATATGCATGTCTATGTGTTTATGTGTGTGTGTATGCCCCGTTTGTAGCAGCATAAAGCGTGTTTAAAAAATTGCGGCTGTCATCACTGTTGATGATATAAGTTTATGAGCAAACAAATGTGTACGCACACAGACGCATACAAATACATTCTGGTGTTTATGCAGGTATTTTTGCCATAATTGCATGAACATTGGCAACACATATTTACACACATGCTTAAATAAGGCATGCATATACAGATGTGTCTCATTAAAATTGATTGTAAAAAATAACGGCAATATGGAGTAAAGAAAAGTGTGATGATTTGATATGTATGTATGTGCCATATCTATTAGCGTACATAAGTATGTATAACAAGTTATGCTTTGGCGCTAGCTTGGTCAAAATAGATTCCGCCGCGTCGTATAAGTAACATAATTAACTAAAATGTTTATATGTTTTTCGATTTGTAGTGTATTAAGTTTTTTTTTTAATTAATTACATTCCCTCTGTGTTTAATGTTGTTAAAAGATAATTAAAATTTATTGCATAATGTCAACTTTTTAACATAACTAGAGATTTAACGGTGACCAAACTCAAAATTTTAATAAGGGTTATTGTTGATATTATCATAGTGCTGAACGTCTTGAAGAACGTTAGGAAGAATTTTTTTCATATTAAGGATATAGGTTTGATGTTAACCCATTTTATTTTAAAGAAAAATTTAATTAAAAATTAGAAAAAGCGTTTACTTAGGCTGCACCGAAGTTAAAATCCCTTCACAAATACAAACGATACTAACAAGGACTGGATTCTGATCGTTTTTATGGGAGCTATATGCTATAGTAGTTCGATCTGAAAAATTTCTGCAAACATTGTACCGTTGCTTTAGAAAATGCCAAATTTCGTAAAGCTATCTTGTCAAAAAAAAAAAAGTCTTCCATACAAGGACTTTATTTTGATTATCAGATCGACATATCAAAAACTAAGGGGCTAATAAAGTCGCGTATATATAGACAGACGGACGAACAGACATGTCTGAATGGACTCAGCTCTACACGCTGATCTTTTGTATAAACATACATATACCATGTAGGGTTTCCGACGTTTCTTCTTCTATACCCTGCTCAAGATATAATAAAGTAGACATGCAAAAAAAAAAAACTTTAAAATTAAACGAAATGTGAAACTATGTGCTAAATAATTATAAGAATTTATTTTTAATTTAAATTTATTTTTAAACTCTTATTTCGACATATCAAAACAAATCTTCATCCAGTTCTCAATTTATTCCCAACTTTCATCAAGTTATTTCAGCATGAAATATCTTCTATTTATGCTAGTTATCAGCCTAAATTTTGTGAATTTGTGTCAAATATTATACTACATATATATTTATTAATATTTCTTCAAACACAATCATAATATTAAATTTATAAATATCTCTTCCCTTTCCTTTAAAACCACCAAAAAACCAAAACAAAAACTTCTTCTCACCCCAATCATTCTGTGCGCTGCTAATACAAAATCTTTAACGATGTATGTATGTAAATAAATTCAAATATTATAATTCTATTTATGAACTGTCCATATTAAACTCGAACCACTTTCATCAATATATAAATCAAATTAAACACAATAAAAATTTATTTGTTGTACTGTATTGTAAATCCCGAATGGCTCGTATACTCGCCACTACGTTTGCATAACCTATGGGCTTATGTGCTTGCGTACATCATATGTACATATAATCATTTAACCTGCTCGTACTGTGTTATTTTCTCGTTACCGTTATTCATTATGTTATGCTCAATAACAAAAATTACGCCCCCTCTACTTACCCCTTGAATTGAACTTGATACTGCTATTAATTTGCATTTGAAATGCCAACGTTGTTGTTGCTGGCTTCAGGCGTACGATGAAGTACATAGAATTTCTAACAGGTTCGCACATCAATCTGGCCGAACAACCGCCACCTTGTGAACTGCAAATACGCAAATCACGCTCATCGACACTCTTCGATCTGCAGCACGCCAATACGGGCGCAATGGAAGATAATGAAATTATGCACGATCTAATGCGACAAGAGGATGAGCGCGGTGAAAAGCCGGCGAAAAAGTTACGCCATCATATGAAACGATTCACACACTCCTCACGAAATATACTCAACGAAAAGTATAATGCATTCATGCGTAAATTCGGTGAGAGCGTCGAGTCCAAGTCGCCGAGCAGCACTTCACGTTCGTTAAGCAGCCTCTGCGCCAGCGGCGGTCTGATAAAAGATGACGCCATTGCCTCAGGTTCATCGAGTCGCAGTTCTACTGGCACCGCGTATGATCTGCGCCGGCGTCCCAGTTTCAAGGCTAAACATAAAATGTTTGGCGTTGCTGTTGGCGGTGTCACAGCCAAGCCAGCGTTCTTGCAACGTCAATCGACGGTGAAGCGTAGTAGTGGCAGCGGTAGTACAGGTGGTAGCGCAGCTGCCAATCCACATGCCATTTTGCGCTCGGTGAGTGCCGAATATAATGCAGCGAACAAGACAGGCTCACCGGCTATCGCGTCGATATCGGAGTATTCGGATAGTACACGCTCCTCACCTAACATTTGCAGTGATGGTCACGATGATAACGATGATTACGATGAAGAGCAGTTAACAGCAATGCTTGAGCTGCAACGCGCACATGGCAAACAAACACAATTAAACTATTGTCATAAAAATTACGATTATAAAACACCATCGCTGGCGAGTGGTAGCTGTGATCGTAGCGATAGTAGCAGCTGTGTGGATGTGTTGGCTGCTATTGGTGGCTATCATCCATTTGGTGAATTCTCGCAACACGAGCCGCATCAGCTACAGCTGGACGTACACGATACAGTCACGATTCGTTCAGGCTCGCCGAATACGTTTTCGCTAAGCAATTCAGACAGTTCTGGTTCGGAGGCAGAGTTGGCGCGTGAATTGGCGCGCGGCGAGGCGGAGGAACGTATCAAAATGCAGAAATATTTGAAGATATGCAAGGATACCGAAAAAGTTGATGCCAAGTGGATACAGCCGAGCGATTTGGAGGGTTTCGATGACAGTTTAACCGATTTGACACCACGGCGCTCATTGCTGCGCGACCTGAAGACATTGTCGCAACATGTGCAGGTGCAGTTATGGGCGTGAAGCGAGTGAAACTATATTTCCCCAAAAGTTTTAAGTAGCCAAATCGTTCTTTAAATGCTTTTAACTTTAGATAGCTCGGTGGTTGGATATGTTAAAAAAGAAAATTTGCAAAAGATTGGCCAAGCCAAGTAAAATTTACTTGCTATAATTTTTTTCTACTAATGCGCCAAAAATTATGAAATAGCAAAATTTCATTGTCTACCATTAGGCGTTATAGTAAAAAATTTAAATTAATTGACCTGTCAAAATTCTGACTGTAAATTTATTTATTAAAAAATATTGATATAAAATTTATAATTTGATTACTAAAAGTTTTTGGGAAATATATCTCGAAATATTCACGGCCTTCGTGTAGTCTAACGGATATACCGGAATCTCATTTAAGTACGTCCATTTAAAGCCAACTGCTTACCTGCCTTGCTGCTTCTTTTCCAGGATTTTATACATTCAAAGCCAAAGAAAGTGGAAAAATCACCAACGCCATCGCCACAACAACAACGTCGCGCTGCAGCGCCATCTCAGGAAAAAAATACTTTGCTCCTACAACCGCCATCAGAGGCGAGTAAAGCATATTATTCCTCACAACCGGAGATTTGTCTAAATTGGGAAGGCGATATGTGCGCACCACCACCAACCACACACATTTCCCATTCACGTTCGCTTATCAATCTTAGACGCAGCGACGCCAATTCGCCAACAACAACATATAACAATGCTAATGCGCCAGAGCTTGACTTAACCACCACAAAAGATGATATGTACGCTACTAATGCCTATGGTTATGGTTACGTTTCGGATTCAGATTCCAGCTCGGCTTATCTGCCAGTCACCGTTAAAACATTCGCTAGTAATGCCAAATGTCCTGTATTTAAAATTTGTCCCTCCACCCCCTCACCTTCGGAGACAGATTTGAAGATACCTTTTATAGAAGATGATGCCTCGACTGTGGTGGATGACAGCGCCTCTGAAAGCACCGAAATACCCACACCGATTTTAGGCAACAGTACACTTAGCATAGCTACCGTTAGCGCTGCAGCGCCGCTAGACGTTATGGATGTTATTGCTAATTCCCCTGTAAATAGCAGAAAGTACGTAGTAGGCAATACATCCAATAGTAGTATTAGTAGTCCACAGCGTTCTCCTAGTACTCCTAGTGTTCCCAATCCATATTATTCAAATGCAATTAAAAAGTCTACTAATCATAATAGTAATAATATTGTAAATTCACACTTGCTTGCACCACCGCCATTGCCATTGCCATTACCATTGCCGTCATCGCCCACGCTATCATCATCGCGCTCGCTATCGTCAACGCAATTGTTCGTAAACGCGCCCGTGCCTACCTCATCGCCATGTACACCGCTACTTTGCACCAAAAATCGTCAACATCGTACGCTCGAACATCAATCGCTACATCATAGGTCATTGAATGAAGTGAACGCCGCAGCAGTAGCTTCCAGCAATGCCTTTGTGGCAGCAGCAGCCGCCGCGTCGTCCGGCATCACAGACAGTCCCAGTTTGAAACGTTTCGCATCACCAGCACAGGCTGCTATAGTGGCAGCAGCTGCCGCCATGCCCAGCGCCAATACAATAGCCAGTGCGCCGTTGTCAGCATCACTTGTACCGGGGCCCAGCAGTAACGGTGGACGTGCCAAACTCACCGCAAGTCCGTCGAAGTTGGCACTGAATTCAGTAGGCGCGACAGGCGCAAGCAATACAACAACAACTGCGGGCACTGCACTTAACACGAGTATTTCATCAACGGCTTCGACCACAGATGGTGGCGCAACAAACTCAATACCAGCGCCGTCGAAGGATACGATGCCGACGGAAATGTGTCGCCGCTCATCCGACTCCGACTTGAGCATAACGCCAAAAGGTAAGACTGATTTTTTTTGTTACTATTTATATCTTAATTGATTACAACGATTAGTGCTTTGTAGTGTGTGGTGAAAACGAGTGTAGTATGCCTGAATGTATGCTATCTTTATATATACGATATATACAAGTATATGTATATTATAGGCGAAACATCGATATAATAAAGTTTGGAAAAAATGTTCAGTGTACAGCTAGTTTAATCGAAGTAAATCATATAAAATATTTTCTTTCTTTTCCCGTTCTTTTCTCCAAAATATCATGTTTGAGATCGGAGAAACGTGTTCACACATTTTTTCCTCTCACCTGCCACTAATGTGTCATATCCCATATATTTTTTTGCACAATTTTCATCTCTTAGAGTCATCTAATCGTGCCTACTTTTGCGTAAAGGTCTTAAAGAAAGCTTAATTAAATGTATTTACATAAAACCCTGGTTTCAATTACTTTTTTTTTGTAGCATTATTTCTATAACATTGTTGGTATTGTCCACTGTACGTCAAAAGACATCCCTGTCGTCGTAACCACGCGCGAATCCGCATAGTATCTCTAAATATTCCTTCTTCCTTGAAAGAGCCGTTTTTTTACTTCTAATTAAACCTGTACGAGTGTGGTCCGATAAGTGCTTATTAGAAAGACCGTTTTCCCGGCTTTCTCTGCGAACCAGAATATTTCAGCGGAGTAGAGCTCTGCGACCCTTTTGTCTTTTCGTCTGCTTGATTTTAATGTAAATATTATATTTCCATATATTTTCGTTAAGTCTGAATATTGAAAAAAACAAAACAAAAAAGAAACGTTATTTTTAAATGCATTGGTATGACTGAAGAACTTTTATTGAGTGCTGCCAGCTTACCATAAGTTGATTTATGAATATAAAAACATACAAAAATATTGAAAAAGTTATAAAAAATAAAATAAACTTAAAATTATGACAGCATTATGAACTGAAATTTAATTTCTTACATAATTTAAATTATTCAATTTGCCAATTTTTATGGATATTGGCAGAATGAACTAAATTTTTGTTCCCGACCACCGCAAGGCTAATGCACCAAGCCGATATTTAAATATTACATATTTCTTTGACATATCAATAACTTCCAAAATGTATTATTATGATAAAGCGTCCTATATTTTCTTGAATAACTACTGGTAACTGATCATATTATCAGTGGTTTCAATGAATATACTCGTATTCTTACTGAAATAACACCCGCAATTTGTTCTCTTCTCATGCTATCCGCACAAAAAAAAAAACAAAAAAAAAAAAAAAAACTATTGTCAAAATAAATACAGTTTTACATCGCAAAAGTAAGTAGAAAAAAAATGGTCTTGTGCCTCTTTAATTTTTGTCTCTTTGTCTTTGCGCTCTCTCTATTTTACCCGTAATTAATATTGATGTAGTGTGTAATTTTTGCTGTACTGAAATATCAATACAAAATATTCGTAATTTTTGTCTAAGCCTAAGTGCATAGTAGAGCGACGAAGTGCGTAGCCGATTCACTTAAATTACAGTGAAGTTCGACACAGCTCCTCCATCGATAACATATGAGTAAAGACGTGTTTTATAATAAAAATTTTGATTGATACAGTCAAGATCAAATTTGGCTGGACAGGTCCATCGCACTGCGCGCGCATACCGAATTGGTAAACATTTTTTTCCTAGGTTACTGACATATTTTTTATGTTCAGTTTCGAAAACGGAAAAAATATCGAACTTCACACGAACATAGAAAAAGGTTATACCAATAAACGAAAAAAATTTTATCGATTCGGTTTGCGTGCGCTGTTTAAATAGGCCAGTCCGGGTGAAATTTGGTCTGGCGGTATTTCATCCAATATTTTTGTAAATTAATTATTATTGTATAACTTCACAATAATATTTTTATGTTATTATTTTACATTCTCGTTCTTTTATGGCTTGGGCTTTACCTTAATAAATATCGATTTATGAAACATTGTATCGATAAAAAAGTAGATGTTTACATTTTTCATATTCGCTGTTCTTTTTAATGTTGCTCGATGTATTATATTTTATATACACTCAAACTGAATCTAGAAACAAGGATTGCATACAGTTTCCATCCAAAAAACCGTATTAGGCCTTGAATCAATCTTATTATTAAAAGGTAACTTCACTTTAAATAAATGCTTGATTCTCTAATTTTCGATATTCGTAGTCTTATTTTCTCTAAAATGTAAATCAGCCAGCTGATTGTTGGTGTGGGCAGGTTTTTTTTTAATGCTAACTGAATCCTCCTAGCAAGTTCAATGAAATGCTGGATTCGAGCTTTTAAATCGCTAAAACTTACGATAAGTACATTAAAGCAGGGCCAATACCCCCAATTAATACCGATTTAATAGGTAACATGTAATATATTTGCAAAACAAGCGTTTTACCGCTGGAAATAAAACCAAATCTTCGTTATTCGAGGAGCGCTTTAATGAATTGAGATTTTCGTTGTGCCTCATGTCATGATATTCCCTTTCATAATAAATTTCAATTAATTCAAAAAATTCTTGAAATATTTAATTTTTCACATTTGTTATTGTTTATTGTAACATATCGATTATCAAAAGACGATTATTCAATACCATTTCATTGGCGCTGTTGACAACAAAATAGCGGAAATGTGTAGAACTATTCAACTTTAAAACTAAAAACAAAACAATAATCAAAAATTAATTATCAAATTAATTTCGATACTCATAAGTGGTTAGAATATTTATGAAAATTTTTAAGCTTAGATTATCCTAATAGAAATTGGGACAATGTGCAAATGTTATTAACTTGTCGTTGCTAATAAGGGGTATATGTTTAATATTGTATTTGGTATGAATGTGGCATGTTGATTATTTTATATGCATACATAGTTACATATATCTCCTCAGAGCATGCGCATATTTTTGTTTTAAATACATTCAGTTAACATCAATATAACTATCCATACAATGTCTTTTACATAAAAATACATACATATTTGTATACTTACTTGTATATTAAAAATTAATAATTATTATTAAATATATTTTTTGGCTCATGGAATTCGAAAAACATTTACATACCTACATATTACCTTCAGAATTTCGATAAGAGTAAACTTTTAGGAATCAGAATGAATTCATTTTCACAACAAGTCTGCTTTATAATTTTGCTTAGAATATCAGAGTTCTTTAAAACGTAGCATAATTAGTGGACGATTGTCAGAGGATATCTACTTTTTCGGTATTCAGAGGAATTTCTGTTATTCGGCACAGGGCTCTACATTGGTTGGCGTTATAATTTGAATACAAAGTTCACCTAGACTACTAACTAGAAATAGAACTATCACAATGTTATTCATATCCCTAGATGGGGTGAAAACTTCGTATTGTTTTACTGTAAAACATTGTTTTTTATTCGTTTTTATTATGCAATATATTGGTTCTATAACTGTATTCGTGCGGTTTTTTTTCTTAAAAATTTTAACGTTTATTTAAGAAAAATGTATGTATGTATTATTCAAAGTACTGCCCATTTTTCTGACCATTTTTTGAATTCAATTCCAAACGAACTGCGCCAGCAGAGAGCCATAATAGCCAATATTTAATATCCTTTTCCGATGTGAGCCGTATTCCAGTGAGGGCTTTCTGCATTCACCTGAACAAATGGTAGTTAGAGGAGACAAGGTCTGGGTCATAAGTCGGGGGAGGCAAAACTTAACAGACGCTGTTTTCTAAATAGTTTTTAACCGGTCATTTTGATGAGTTGTTGTCGGTAGCATTCCCTATTAAAAGTTTCACCCGATTTTAAATGTTTATAATATAGCACGCCCTTCTGATCCCAACAAATACAAAGCATTGCCTTGGCGTCATGGATATTCGGCTTTGCCGTTAATTTGGCTGGTGGTTGGTCAGGTTTTACATACAGTTTTGTGCGTTTAGGGTTGACGTAATGAAACCATTTTTCATCACCACTCACAATCCTATGCAAAAACTAGTAAAAAAACAAGCAGCATTTTTACATGAAAAATCGTCTTTCAATGCTTTAATTCAGATGACAACCAATTTTCGTGCTTTAAAGTGTATCCGGCTGTTTTTAAACGTTTCGTTGTGTGAGTAACTCCGAAATACTTCGCGAGATCTTCTTGTGTTTGGCAGTCATCTTCATCAAGTAATGCTTCTAGTTCCTCATCTTTAATCCTTTTAGCCAAACTCAACAATATATGCACGAAGGCCATACATACACCACCCTTCTTATTGCGATCTTCCAACTTTTCGTATTTCTACTACGATTTAAAACATCTTTCCAGCGATAATTTTCTTGAGATCTGGGAACAGTCAAAAGTCGTTGGCACGTTTCTGCAGAATTTGGTGGCTACAAAAGCAATTTTATTTTACGATCGCTTTTCATCCACTTCTCATATGATCTCTACGAAATTTGGCAAATCACCCACGAATGGTTACTGCGCTTGGCTCCGAGCCGAGTTAATGCTCATCAAGCAGTATCAGCGTCATTGATTTTCCTCAAAAATTATTTTTTGTTGTGTCTTTAAGGGTTAAATACTAAATGTTTAGTTTGCGTAACAGTTGTTTTCGCTTAATGGTTTTTGAGCCCTTGAAAGCCTTAAGGAGACATTATTGCTTTTGCTTTGCGAAGACTGCATTGTCTAACCGGAACCGAGTGAGGCATGTTTCAAATTTGATAACATTCAAATAAATTACACCCGTTCACTTTCCGACAATATTCCGTTATGTAGATTTCTTTATATATAATATATCTGTCCTTGGACAACCTGATTAAAGCGCATACAAACTTTAGGCTCTTTGTATTTTTTATGGTTGCTGTTCGTTAAAAGGATAATTTCGTAAATTATTCACGACAGGTTTATGTATTCCGATGTTGTTCAAGGTTTATTTATTAGTTAACATGTTTTGTAGAAAACAAATCGTACACTGTTTCCTACTCAGAAGTGAAACGACGTTTAAATATTATTAAGCATCTCTTCAAGCCAAATATTTTTAGCGTTGTTTCATGATATCAAAAAACTCAAGACTTCAGTAATATTTATCCATCTATCTGTATGTATGTATGTATGTAAGTCGGTGGTGTACTTTACATCTCAATTAATTTGTTGTATTTCTCAATGTACCCAATTGTTACCGCATACAAACACACACAGACACGCCCACACAAGGTCCTTAAATCTCTGGTACCAGTTGATGAATCTATTTTTATAATTTTTGCATTATTTAACACACAACTATTAATAATTTTGCTTTCCTTTTGCTTAGGAAACTCATTGTGTGTGGCCAGTGAACGTCTGGTAGCCGCTACAGCGTTGATGCGTCTCAATCAACCGTTAGGCGCTAAAAATACCAACACCGATGGCATGGATGGCCTGTTGGAATATCCCTTCCTAACCATGACAAAATATCCTCCCGGTTTCATATTGCATCTGGGTGCGACTGTAGCTGCGCGTTCGGTGAAATTATTGGAACGTGTTCCCAATCCCGATGAGCCGGAGGTGCGAGACTCGTGGTGGACCGAATTGCGTATGGAAATACGTTCGCATGCGCGTGCGCTGGGTTGCAATGTGGTGCTGGGTTACTCCGAAGCGACGACCATTTCGTAAGTGTAAATTCTAAAGTTGTATCAGTATTGTGCCCTTTTCATCGTATATATAATCGGTAAATAATGTTTTGAGTGGAGCGTATTTACCTAATCTAACCTAACTTATTAGTGTTGGTATCACATTTCTATATTTTTCAATTCCTAACCTAACAGTAATGACTTTCGAAATCATACTTCCAAGAAAAAACGTTTACTTCACCACAGCAGAATTTGATTATTTTTGTATATCTTTTGAATGAAAATAATTTATATTTTGATCCAACCATAAACAACAGTGTAGATGTTTAAGTGTACCTATTATAAACTTGTTCTAACTTAAAATATTATTTTTCCTTATGTCCGTACAATGTTTTCTACTTTTCCAGTGACGATGTTTGCGTGCTCTCTGCAACGGGCACAGCGGCCGTTATTAATATGGCCTACAATCGCTCCGTATCCCAAACTGATATACTCAACGCAGCGGTAAAGCCGGTCGGCATTGGTTTCGGCATAGGCAGTACAGGTGGCACAATGTCAGCATCGCTCGAAGAACGCGAAACGCTCAAAGATATGCGTAACGGCATTGCAAACGAAACAATTTTATCGCATACGAAAGATACAACGATATCCTCATCACTTGGTACTACAATACACAATTCAGCGGGTAAGAAAAATGGGATACCGGCCAGCATGGGTGTCGTGAAAAGTTCCGCGTGTAGCGTCTGTCATGTACCGTACAATTTGGCGTCAGTGCCGTTCAATGTGAAAATGAAGAAATGCGCCATTTGTCGGAAAGGACGCGTGCCAGATGTGTTATTAGCGACACTCGAGGTGCCGGAACGTCTGCATGTCACCGGGCGTGGGTGTTTCATGCAAGCACAAGTGGTACGCGCTAAAAAAGACTTACGTTCAGAGCTAAATGCTAAAGAGATATCGGATGGTTTACCATTTCTAGAATACGAATTACATCGTGTGCTAATCAATAAGTTGAAGGCAAAGGGTATGAATGCCATATTCGGTTTGAGAGCACAAGTAGCCATCGGTGAGCGAATGATTGCGCTCATAGCGACGGGCACAGCACTTTTTCTGAGTGCTTTGCCAGTGCCACAGGTGCCGAAAATAGTGGCTGGCAATTCGTGGACGGACAAGCAGAAATTGAATGAATTGCAAAAGAAATTGCAGGAAACCTTCGAACGCAATCAGGAAGTTTATCAGCTCAAATGTATTGATCCGGATGTAATAGGCGGCGGTGTGGCAACGCTCGACAAACAATCCGATACCGATGAGTCGGATGATGAAGTAATCGAAATCGATTTGAATTGTGGCAATAAGGATACCTGTGTGCTGGAAGTAGACGACATTGAAGATTTGGAAATTATTTCTTTGCTCATGGAAACATATCCGCCAGAAGGTTTCCACGTTGTCAACACACAAAGTGTGCCCGGTATACTGGAAATGGAGGCGGTAAAAAATCTGCAGATGTTCACACAAGTATGGCGCGCCAAATTGGATGTCAACCAAAATATTAATGGATTCCCCAAACACTTTCAGCGGTGAGTATTCCAATTGTTTATATAGATCAATAAAAAATTACATCGAAATTGTATTTTCAGGATTTTACAGACCATTTACTTTAAACTGCGCACAATGATACCCTGTGCCATTTGCGATCTGAGATTCCGACTCGATCTGCCCGAGAGTGTAAGTATTTGCTTTTCATTCAATTTCTGAATAATTTATTTATTAACCTTGAAAATCCATAGGATCAGATACAGCTGCTGGTCACTGGCATGGCACTCGGTTTGGATGATGCAAATAAATTTAAATATCGTCGCAAAGCGGCCGTAACTAGTTTTACGAATGGCACAGTAACCGAAGCGCCCGATGCGAATGGTTTGAGTGCAGGGAATAAGCGTACGCTACAGGAGGAGGATTACATTTTCCCGCTAGACGAAGATCAAATGGTGGAGACGCCAACACCGACTTCAAATCTTCCGCCTTACGGTTTGAATAGTTTTAAATTGGCGAAAACTTCTCCATCACGACAGCATAGCAAGAAAGGCACTCTTATTAACCGCAACAATTACGTGAGTGTTTACATTAAAAAAAAAATTGGTTTAACCAGTAATACACTGTTTATTTTTATCAGTTCCCATTACGCGATCGCTATGGCGTTGATATTACACCACTTAGTTTTGTGCCAGGCGGTCGCATTGACAAATATCTCGGTAATTTGAACTTCTTTTTTATACGTGAAACGACTTCGATACGAGAGAATGGCGGCATTAGCGGTTTTGTGCATTCGTTTATAACGGAGGTAAGTAAAACCGTGGTGAAATAGTTTATAAATTGTATAAAAGCTCAAGGAAAGCGTAAATCTACAAAAAAAATTTGTTTGTTGTTAAAATCGTAAAAAATTTAGACAATTTTACTATTTGACCACGAAGTTTCTAACATCTAGAAGGAAACGTCGGAGTCTCTATAAAATGTATATATAAATGATATATATATATAAAAATTTTTTTTTTATGTATATATATATATATACTGTCTGTCCAAGTCCCTCAGTTTCTGAGATATCGCTCTGAAATCGCTATAGCATATAGCTGATATACAAACTGAACGATCAAAATCAAGTTCGTGTATGGAAAACATTTTTATTTAAGAAGATATGTTCACAAAATTTCGCATAAATGATTATCTAAGGCAATGCTACTATATTCCGAATAAAATTTTAAGATCGGACCTTATTAGCATATCGAGGTCATACAAACTGAACGATCACAATCAAGTTCTTGTATGAAACTTTTGTTTTTATTTATTTGTTACATTTTATAGCAAATATGGAAATATAGTTTTTCCTTAATGGCTTGTTTCAAATTAGACTATAATATGCACTATACACTTCATAACAGAAATAACTGAAATCTTCAAGTTTTCCGTTAAACTTGTACTCATAAAAGACTCTACAATACAGTAATGCCCTGCAATTGTGGCATCACATAACCTAAAAATTATAAAATCTATTTTATATAATAATAATACAATATAATCTTTATTATTGTCTTTCAAGTTGCTGGCGGTGGTTCGTGCCCACATATCAGCACTCGGTGGCAATGCTATGGTGTCATTCTATATGAGTGAATTGATATTAGTCGATAACCAGCATAAAAATCAAGTAAATGCCACACATATTAAAACCGTTTTGTACATTAATAATTGTCACTATTACTATTACTATTTTTCAGGGACAATGTTTGATCAGTATTGGTGGTGATGCTGTCTACGTTTCCTATCACACCGATGACTGATACACGCGCCTAAAAGGCATATAGCGCTTATTTTTCACCAATCGCCCAAAAAGCCTATATTATTAGGCGAAAGAATCGGATTAGGCGGTGGAGAAAATGATGAAAGCTCAATAGCAACATAAATACATTTTAAATGTTATGAAAATGCTAATCAAAACAAACTATATAAAATGCCAAAACTATATTTTTTTATCCGAATGCTTTATGCAGGCTTATCAAGAGTGTGCATATTAATTTTTAAACTTTAGTTTACCCAACATTTCTTTCATTGTTTACAACGAATTATGAAACTTTGGTTTGCAGTAGGCAAAAGAATTAAAAAAATAAATTATTAGTGCGATTTTAAAAGAAAACACATTAAGTGCAAACATTTATATAAAAACTTAAGCTTAAAATATAATGCTCTGCAGTGGAAATGCATGCTCTCTCCAAAAATTAAGTGAAATTGTAAATTAATAAGAGATAAAATAAAAACTGTTGTGAATTTGCATGCTGTTTCTTTGCCCATTTAGTTGCTATAATTATTGTACTTAAATTGTCAAACGCCAGCATATAACTGTTATTTTTGAAAATTGCATAAAAAAACTGTAGTTAATGTAAAAACAAAAATTAATAATTAATCTGTGTAAATAGCCAAACAGAAATGAACTATTACATTTCCAATGTTCATTGGCGAAAAGATGCTTTAAAAAAAACGAGCTACTAAAAATAAATTTAAAAAATCAAAAAAATAGAAAAATTGTACGCGATAATGCAACCTTTAAGAATTAAAAATGGGAAAACGCTATATTTGCAATCTACTTACACACACCACATGTTGTGTAAAACAAAATAAATAAAAATCAATAATAAAAAATAACGCTAAAACGATATTATAATATACTTAGATATGCTCGTATATAAATTATTCGGAACAATTTAAATTATGAATTTCTTTTCGTTGACATGTATGTAACTGTTTATTGATTTGTTTACATTTTATGAGAAACATTTTTTCATACCCATTTATTTTATGCAATAAAGACAGTAATTACATTAAAAGTTTCTCCAATGTTGTTGTTATATTAGACCTTTTGAAGCCATATTATTTGTGGTTTAAATACTATAAAGTTTTTGTTTGTCTGTGGATATGAAACTGTATATTTAAAATAACTAATCAGCTAAGAACACACGATTTTACTTAAAAAAAGATTAGGATATCTACCAAACTAAATTAGAAAACTCTTAATATGTCGTCTTGAAAAAACCCTAATCAAGATATTTAAATATAACTAGGCTACTAAACAGCCTGTTTTGCGTTCAGTCATGTTATTTACCGATACAAAAATCTTTGAAAACCACATCTAGAATGTCATCCGAACTAACATGTCCCGTTATACGTTCAATACATTTGAGCGCGTTTCGTAGTTTTTGAGCCGAAATTGCAGTATCTGGGAAAATATCGGGCGCATATTCATTTAGAAAAATATGTATGTGCTCAATGCAGCGTTCTAATTGTTGGCGATAACGCGCATGCGTAATGCGTGGATGTTCAGCAGTTGGTTCACCGCAGCTTGAGAGCATAGAAAAAAAATCAAATTGATTACAGAAATATGTATCAATAATTTACAACAAATAACATAACATACAGTTCGCACAGGAGTTTTTCAAAGTGTCGTAAAAATGGCTGCACAATATCGGTTGTTGGTTGTTTGCATGTAATTTTCAGTACATTATCAATTTGCGCCAACTTTTGTAGTTCCGTCATTGAAAGTAAATCAATTTTGTTCGCTATGAGTTGTATACGCTTTCCAAGTAATTTATTCGCATCCAAGTCTAATTGCTGTAAGTAGTCGGTCTGATAATCTTGAGCAGATTGTTTGTAAGTAGAAATATTTCGAAGTAATTCGCGGGCATCTGTTAGTAGCAGTATTAAATCGGCATTATGCAAGCATTCTTTTGCTCTACTTATACCTTCCAACTCAACAACATCCTTTGTGTGCTTACGCAAACCAGCTGTGTCTGCAAAAACAACGGGGTAGCCACCAAAATTATGTGTACTCTCTATGATGTCACGAGTTGTGCCAGCTATTGGCGTTACAATGGCGATTTCTCGCTGACAAATCATATTTAGGAAACTACTTTTACCAACGTTTGGTGGGCCCACAATGGTAGTGCGCACACCATTCCTCAGCATTTCACCCTGACGTTGGTCATTCAAATGATTACGTATTTCAGTTATGATATGACGTAACTCTTTGGTTAAATGCAACACTACATCATCCTCAATATTTTCTTCTTCGGCGAAATCAATATACGCCTCTAAATGTGCAGCGCAGCGTATGAGTCGTTTGCGCCAATTGTCGTAAACTCGTGAAAGAGCACCTGCACTTTGAAGCATAGCCTGTTAAAATGTGTTGATGTTACTATCTATGGAAATACGATTAGAAATATTTATCCGGCAACCTGCTTTCGTTGCGCTTCCGTTTCAGCATGTATTAAGTCTGCTAACCCTTCTACCTCAGTTAAATCAATCTTACCACCATAAAATGCACGTTTAGTGAACTCACCAGCCGTTGCCGACCGTAGACCTGGTACTTTGCCTAATGCGTCTAACATTGCCGCTATTACTGCCAATGAGCCATGTACTTGAAATTCACATGAATCTTCGCCGGTAAAAGAAGCTGGTCCAGGAAACCATAGGACTAAACCTTTATCAATTATTTCTTTTGTCTCTGGATGGTAGATAGACCTAAGATAGGCATAACGAGCTTTTAGTTCATGCCGATTGCCGAGTAGTGTTTGTAGGGCATGCCTGGTTCGCGGTCCAGAAACTCGAATAACAGAGACACCGCACTTGCCGTAGCCTATATAAAGAAACATTTTTGGCAACCAATAATTTTTGCAAGATGTTTTCTCCAACCAACCTGAACTCAAGCTAAATATTGTGCAATCCGCTGCAGCATTTGTTAAGTTGTACGTACACCGTCTGGAATATTTAAAATATTTTACCATTTTAAAGACATTATTCATTTTTAGGCTATTGGTTTAATCGAAACAAATGGAAATATTTTTACTTTCAATGCATATGTAAATCGGAAAGTAAACATTCCAACATAAGTTTACAAAGATATATATAAACAGCTGATTGGTGTAGAGTGTTGCAAAATGCATTCTTATCGATATATTTGACATATTTTCGATTTATATTCACAAAAATTTGTAAAAGACAAGTAGACGAATTTGCTGAATCGTTTTTTGACACTTTTTGTAATTTCAAAATTTGTATATGTACATTTTAAAATTATGAATCAAATATGCATACATAAAGTACGTGAGCCATATTTTAACTTCCTAATTTATATGACATTAGATTAGATTAATTTTGAGGTATGCACCGCGACCTACGGTCTATTGTGCCCTAAGATTTATATGACATATTATATATTGTAACGGATTTCTCGATAAATCGTCCACCTATAACTCACTTTTGAGTTCGATCACTGGATTGCTAAATAAAAGTCCCAATTTAATAGCTATACACTTATCTTTATTTCTAAATTCCAACAACCTAACGCTTTACTACTTATTATTCGAGCTTACAATTTCTTGCTTATATATCAATTGCTCTTAACACGACAACATTCCAACTAGAACTGTGTGTGCTGCACAACCTGGCAGCACTTATATCTTTATCTTTAACAAAACTTCGCCTATAGAACATTCTGGCAACTACGAATTTGCTGTCTAGTTGCTTCTAGAAATTTATCGTTAATTAGATTTTGTTCTATCATCCGTGTTCGTCACAATACATATCTCCCATATATAACTATAAACCCCTGGTACTGGTAGAGAACGTGTATTATAGAGCAGGTTCAATTGCGGACCAGCGTGTGAATTGTCAAAACCTAACAAGATTCGATATGATATATGATATACGTTCTCTGGTACTGGCAGCTCTAATTGAAAGTAAGTAGTCAAATAAAATTTTTCGTTATTTCTAATAATCTATTTAAAGAGTTTAATTACGTTCATATTAATTTAAAGATTATTGAAATCTCTATGATAGAGTTTTCGGTCAAAATCAACCAAGTAGTTGGCACATGTCTGCTATATTCTTATAAATCTAACATATATATATTTCTGTTTTTCAGTACTATTAATTACTTTAGTTGTTTTCTATTAACAGAGAAAAATATTAGAATTAAAATAACAAAGATAAATATTAATTTTTGAAATGATAAACTTTCGACTTGCGTTCGAAGTTCGTTGTACAGCAAGGATTTAGCCTATATATTGTTGTTAAATGTTTTATTTAACAAATCATAATTTATTTAACAAAAATAATAGTAATTGTATGAAATGCAATGTTAAGACTATCATTTCACTTATATGAATATAAATAAATAAATACTTGTTTCCTAATAGTTACCACATTTTTTAGAATTTTGTGTAATTTGTATTAAATATATGGCAGCACAATTTTCTCGATTCCTTTTTGTTCCAATTAGCCTTTCGAAAGTTACTGTCAGACGGTGTGTATGCGTAAGCAGTCACACAGAAATATTCGCGGCGAGGAGAAAAATAAATTTTAACACTTAAAAAGGTGAAAAACGCAGTGTGTTTTGAAAATTATGTAAAAAGTTGTACGCGGAAACGTGTGTTTGTGTTATATGATATAAAATTGTGTGAAATTTTTATGCATTTAGTGGAAATCAATTTCCACAATGCATTGAATCGCTAACCTACGATAGTGTTGGTCTAAAATGGCGTCGAACTTCATGGAAGTTAAATGGCGTCCCATTAAAAAGAACGGAAAAGTACACATTGTATAAAGCAAGAAAGAAAATTCTAATGCATAATTTTCACGTTTTCCGTGTATATTTTGTGTATTATACTATGATTTAGTAAAAAGAAAAAGAAGGTTTTTATGGTATTTCAGAATATGGTGCAATATTTGTAAGCAAAAGGTGTAAAAAAGGAATAGTCAAATGACTCGTCGTAATCACAATCGTTGATTTCGTCGCAATCGCCGTAGTTTATGTGTGTGTTTCGTACGTTTTTGAAAAACGATGCTGGTAGTAAAAGTGAACAAAAAAGAACAGCGAAAATAAGCTAAGTAATAAGTGAATAACTAAAACGTACATATAAAAGTAGAAAAGGCGACTTGTTCACGTCATCGTGTCATACTGGTAATTGAAATTTTGTATTTAAAATATATGTATGTACATTTATGTTTATATATAACCGGATGGCAATTAGCTGTGGTTATTTGCGAAAATGATCACCCGACAGATGTATGGGTACCAAAGGCTAGTAAGAATTTTATTTTCCTACATAGAGTAATGAAATTGACAACCTTGGCAGTTTTGTCTAAGTTTCACGCTGCCAGATCAAATCTTCGTACCGAAAATACTTTGAAAGACTACCGAAATTCCTTAAATGGAAATGTGTTGTGAAATTCGATTTCTGCTAAAATTGGGTAGAACCTTGTTCGCAAGATAAAATTGGTGGTATGAGGATCTCATGAAATTTCCGTTTTTAGAAAACTTAAAAATATTATACTTTTGTTTGCTTAATATTGAGACGTAACCTGGCAGCACTATTTTTTATTCTTTCCATTATTATTATTATTTAATCATGCACCGTAATTTAAAAGTACTTTTTTTATTTTATTTTATTTTTTTTTTTTTACCTACACTGATTTCACTTGCTTTAAAGGAATGTGTGTGTGTTAATGTCGTCTGTTCTCTGTCTGGTGTTTGTTGGTGTTTATCATATTGGTTCGTGCGACCATTCCCATGACTGACAGTTTGTATGTGTGCCTTTGATTTTTTTTCTTCTTTGCCAATTTTTGCACATAGTATATAATTGTTGTTACGAACGCAACAGAAATTTCGTATTTAGTGCGGTGCGGTGTGGTATGTGGGGTGCGGTCGTCGGTAGAGGGCAACCTCACAGGTAGACGACGGTATATTAAGCAAGAAAAACATTGCGAAATCAAAGAGAAAGGTATGAGGAATAATGTATTGTGGCGCTTGAATTTGTATTAAAAATAAATTTACAACACGTAAGGAAGGGCTAAGTTCGGATGTAACCCAACATTTTATACTCTCGCAAAGTCAAATGGTATACTCGTATGAGATTTCTTTGTGGATTGGCTGATATTTTCGGTAGAAGGTCAACTATAGGCACTGGGGTCCACATATTCAGTACTTAGGGGCTTGAACAGTTTTGGTTCGATTTAGACAATTTTTAGTCACAAGGTGGCATACTTTAAACGTATTAATCACGCAAAGTTTTACCCCGATATAATCATTGTTGCTTGATATGCATAGCGGAAAGTGAAAGAATCAGATGGAATTTAAAATGGTGTTATATGGGAAGTAGGCGTGGTTGTAGTCCGATTTTTGCACTAAAACATCGAAATATGAGAAGAATGTTACGTACCGAATTGGGTTGAAATCGGTTAAGCAGATCTCAAGATATGGGTTTTCACCTAAAAGTGGGCTGTGCCACGCCCACTGTCTAATTTTCAACGCGGTTCCTATAAAGTCATCTCATACCACCCCAGAGATAAAATTTAATGTCTCTGGCGTGCTTGTTGCTTGATTTATCGCGCTTTAAGTAGTTTTTAACAGTACCGTTATATGGGGAGTGGGCAGAGTTGCCACCCGATTTCAACTATTTTCACATTGTGGGTAGAGGTTCTAAAAAAATTTGCTTCCAGTGAATTTTGTTATTATAACATTAGCGGTTTAGGAGATATGCACATTAAACCGATTAGAGGCGGGACCACGCCTACTTTTAAAAAAAAATTTTAACTGCAGATGCCCTTCCCTAATGTGATCCTGTGTACCAAATAACAGTCTTATATCTTATTGCGGAGCTTAGTTATGGCAATTTATTTGTTTTTGATTAATGGCGTTTTGTGGGCGTGGCAGTGGTCCGATTACGCCCATCTGCAATACCAACCGTCTCACGGTTCCACAAAGTTGTCCACAAAGTTTCATAAAGATATCTCAATTTTTACTCAAATTACAGCTTGCACGGACGGACAGCCGGACAGACGGACGGACGGACAGACAGTCACCCATATTTCATCCTGATCATTTATATATATATAACCCTATATCTAACTCGATTAGTTTTAGGTGGTACAAACAACCGTTAGGTGAACAAAACTATTATACTCTGTAGCAACAGGTTGCGAGAGTATAATAAAAGGGAGGTTTGTGTTGTGTCGCCACCACAGTCGCCGGTATTTTCTATTGCATTTTCTTAGTTCAATTTATTTGCTCGAAATTCTAACTAAAAGCTTGTTTTTATTTTGTGTTTCGATATTTGTTAGAATTAATGTCTGCTAAATGCTGTAGCTTGTTCGTAAGCGAATTTTCATTTATTTTTACACATGTTCAATATATGCAAAGATTTTTTCTTAAAATACATAATATGGGTATACAAATCTTTAGAAGCGATAGAAACGCGCGCTGAAAAGAAATTTCTGATGGAGTACATTAAGAATTTGAAGCTAATAAATGTATATATTCTTATGATGGCTCAAAAAAAATTACCAATACAATATGCAGACAGTCTAGACTGCAATATAATATTTTTTTAGAATTACACTAAATTTATGCATGCTAATTTTCATTATTACATGCCAATTTAATACAAAAAGGTTAAACGATTTTTATATTTTGTTTAACAATGCTAATAAATAAATTAAAAAAATCAAAGTTAAAATAAGAAAAAAGTCCCTTCAAAGTTGCATTTTATATAGCATAAAAGTATATCTTTTATCCCTATATTGTATGACAGCTATATGTAAAAGTTGTCTGATCTAAACATTTTGTTCAGAGATTGTAGCAAAAGCTGATAATAATCTGCGTTCCATTTCGTAAAGACATTTCGTTATACTTAAAGAGTTTCCATACATGAACTTCAGTTTGATTGGTCAGTTTTTATAACATCTATGTATATGCGATAGTGGTCCGATATCGACGGTGAGTAGCTACTTGGGGAGAAAAGAAAATATTCAGGGTATAAAAAGTAGATATTGATATGGGGTAATTTTTAAATAGAAATATAAATTGTATGAGGTTTACAAGGCGCACATGTATTCCCAAAGGCCCAGCACTCTGATGAATTTCAGGAACTATTGAGGTAATGTGTACCCTGTGTATTACATAAATAGATCCGAGGGACTTAAGCCTGCGTCTACAAATTGCTGTGCAATCTCGAATCAGGTATTATGGTGACATGTCGCAGAACTTGCAGTTTTCACAAGAAGCAAGGCCCATGTTTAACAGGTGTAGAGCGGGACAAGGAGCCGGAATTTGTCTCTGGAGAGGTTGACTTTGAACCTAGCTATATTGTAACCTCCCAATAGCAGTTTAGCATGGCGCTTACCTGTTGCTTGCTGCCAGTGACTTCCTCTACCCAGTCTCTACTCCGTGCGGAGCAGCTCCTGTATGGTGTGTGACGTCACCCCGATGCATGGTTCTGGCCCCATCCGTAAAAGCAGCAGCAGAGCCGACACTCCTTCACTAGTAGCGATATATTCTCATTAGCTGAGATCGCTGACTCTTGTTACGATAGTTGCGCTGCAGATTAATTACTGTACACTGACTAATGGCAAAGATTTTTGCTTGAAAGATGCTCGGTAAGCATCCCAATGACCTCCGGTGTTTTCGAGCCGTCAGTGTACCACTAAATAGTGCTGCCTTTTAATAGTGGGTCGAGTGTGGAATTACCCCAGTCCGCCTTACTGCCGAGAGTAACTTTAAACTTCCTCGTTAAGTTTACCCTTTTTGTAACGCCGTCTCTTGGAATAAGGGCCAGTGGTGTATTTACCTCTAATGCCTTCATTTGTTGAGAACAGATTAACTTTCCATTTCCATACCCCTCCTGTCATAAGCAGCATGGTATGCTTCGCAGTCTGTTTAATCACTAGATGGAGCGGTGTGAGCTCCAGCATGACCACAAGTGGTTGGGCAAGTGCGCATTGACCCAGAGGCGTTGGCGCAGGACAGCCTTTGCAACTTCGATAGTTGATAGACGAAGTCTGTGATGCTTTCGATGCTCAAACCACCACTCCATATATAACGATAGGCCTCAAAATCATGGTATACAGCCACTCGAATATACTTGGCTTGCAGCCCCAAGATCTGCCGGCCAGGCGTCTGCACACCATGAGTGCCTTTGTGGCTTTAGACAGTGTTAACTTCTCATGCCTATTTCGCCATAAGGTGGAGACTAATGTGTTTAACTTCCTTAGACACCTCTAACTCTCTGCCACCAAGAGTAAGGGTCCTTAAGCCCGGAAGAAATCTTCGTGTTGTGAAAGGGATGATGGGTGTTTTTAACGGGTTGATGTTTAACCCTACCGTATCGTACAATCCTTTTGCTATTCTTAAGCCCCTTTAAACTATATCACAGAGAGTGTTTGCGTACTTCAATCAAATCAAAAAAAATTATTTTCAATTTTTAAACCCAAACATCTAAGTTTAAAAAATGAAAATTAAATTGTTATATTTAACATCGGGAAATGAAACTCTAATTTCTAATCTCAACATCGAGATTAAAAAATAAAAATTTAATTATTCATTCATTTTTGAATTAAAAAATTCGCAATGCTGTTTGCAAGTCGACACACCGTATATTGACTGAATAATCGTTTAATTTAATGTTGTAAAATTTATTTCCAATAAACACTTGGAGTTTTAAGCTAAGCTAAATGCTTTTATATCTAAACTTTGTTTTTATCGTATAACGGCTAACTTTCGTAGTTTTCGATTTAGAATTCTTCCTTGTACAAAATTAAGTTTAATCAGTATTACCATATTTCTGGAATCACATTGTAAATTTCTGTGAATTGCTATTCACTATTTGCGCTTACTTTTTTGATTTTTTGCGTTTAATTTGCCCCATTTTTTATTTTTAAATTTTAGTGGCGCGTTATTCATTTGACCTGCAGACGCTCAGTATAAACGAAAAAAATTTGCAAAAATAAAAATGTAAAAATATCACAACGAATTCCAAACGTATACAACAATGTTGAAAGTATTGTATGTTATATACAAACCATGTTGCAATGTCGTGGCGAGTAGCAATTGCGTGTGTTTTTTCCTATTGCGGCGCCAATAATACATCTCGCGGTCCGCTTTAGTGCACTTCAATGGCTATGTCT